TTTTATTTTACATGGAGCTGCCACTTGTGACCCACTGATGTTTTTGACACAGCTCAAGTTTGTTTCATCACATTGTTCTTTAGCTGTATATCCTTGATGAGATTTTTGTACTTCTAAATCAAAAGACTGAATAATAATAATTAAAAACCTTTTCTAATTATATGGAATCTGGGCTCATTTAGCTGCTGAAAAGGAACTGCTGAGGCCACAGCAGCCCCTCCATTTGCCAAATTAGGAGTAGTGCTGAAGAGGTGAGAAGTAGAGAATGCCTAAAACAAACTGTAAAGGGGCTCCAGCAAAACAGCCAGGGGCTTAAGATATATTAAATTACCATGATTGGGACTTAAGGCATGGTTAAAGCCTGTTTGAGAGGCTGGGGAGCCTCATAGCGGGGCTATTCATGTCTGGGGAGCTGGGTCAATAGGTTGGGGAAGTTCACAGGAGCTGATTCCATTCTTATGCAAACGCAGAGTGCAAGACCTAAAGCTCACTGAGTTGGAAGATATAAATGACTGGAAAATCATCTGCAGCCCTCCGCAGACACAAACCAGCTCTTCAGCTGCCCACTCGTCATTCATGAGGCAGAGCGACAACGTCCAAGTGCACGTTTCACCTACTTCTCCAAAATGTTGGACATTTTCACATGAAAGCTCTGATGTACAAAAAATGTTGAATCCATTCGTGTCCCCTAGAAAATGCCCGTCGTCCTCATTGTAGTTTGAAGCCGTGTAATAAATGTAAAGTCACAATAAGTTTATTGACATCTGAGAGCGCAAAAGAAAAATGTTTCGTTCTTTGCAGCTTAGCCTGACATTTTCATTTTTCCGTTTTGGTTTGTAATTGGTGACACGACAACATTGATCTCTATCAGCTGACAACTGAAAAGTGTGAGCAGAATTAATGAATGAATAGACACAGTGTGCCGTGAGCAGCCGGCAGCTCACGAGTTCCTCTGGTCCAAGGTAAAACAGACGTTGATGCTCAAACATGAATCATTGGGCGATATGTGGCCAAAGGTACTCATTTTGCATTAAGACAGGACCATGATTAATTAAACAGCCTCTGCGCTGTCAATAAGAAATATATTACCATTTGTCATTAAATGAACAGAAAACTGAGCATGGCTTTTGACTACCTTTCAGAAGCATTGGGGAAAACTCCTACATAATATTTCTCATAATGCAGTTCTCTCTTTAAATCTCTTTTCTGTCATGTAAACAGACCTACTTAAATAAGATATTCTCCCACTAGTGAGTATAATCCTACAGGTTTTATCAGAGGATCACACACGTGTCGGTTAGCTTGTGCCGGGTCAAGTTCTGTCCCAGGAGAGTGAAAGGTCACAACTCCCTCCGTCCGGCGGCGGGTCGAGCCCTCTGGACAGGAGGTCAGGCACTTTACTAATCCGCAGTTAAACACCACAGACAGGCTGCGTGTAGGCTGTTCGCCTGAATGCTGATGTTCACTACTCAATAGTTGGTTTATGAGATTACATGGCATGTCTTTCATTGTTGAATAAGTGAATGGCTTGAGTGAATGTATCCCACTAATTATCATTATTAAATTCTCACACAGAGAAAATATTTGAGTCTTAATGGCCCACATTTAAAACACATTGTGTGGAGATGCAGTCACGTCACAGTTATTTTGTAGACTACGTTATAAACAGCAAGACGTGACTGAATTGTTTACGTTCATCAGGATTTATGAAAGCTGACGTCTTTTCACTTGTTCAGGAGAGATGTTTTGCCGTCTTAACTACCCACCATGAATCTGCTTTAGGTTCAAATAAACATTTCTGATTTCAGAATTCTTCTTTATACTTCTATATTCTACATTCTGGTATTTGTTATGGGAGATGAATCTAGCAATGCAAATGCAAACAGTATGTGGCTATTTTACCCAATAAGTCCCTCTAAATAGCTTAAAATTAGCATTTGTTGTCTGAACACACACCTGCCTTTATGAAATGTTTAACTTAATAATAACCCATCATCATATTTCTTTTACATTACATTTATTTTGTACAGAGCAAAAAATATACATATTGTCAATTCATTTGAAATTAATCCAATGAAAGAAAACAGCAGCCTTTCAAATGTTTAAATTGAAATGCTAGATACTATTAAAATAAAAGATCATCAATTACAAAGACAAACAGTTTATATTATTTTGGCATTAGAAAGCTGGATCATGAATCAGGAATACATTCTTTCTTTCTGGCTCAAAACTCGTTCAAAACTCCATGAGATCTACGCGCTGAGACGAACTCTGAAGATCCTCCACAGGACGGCGACGTCAGCATTACTTCCCCTTTTCTAGAAATAAACATAAACGTGGACATCTGAATCAGCTTTACAATAAAACATTTATGTGCAGGTATAGACAGATACAAGGAGGCCTTCTGTGAAGATGTACAATGTATCATTGGGCACATGCACTCGTTCCTTAGCAGGTTTTGACGGGAGCCTGATCTGAGACCAGCCATGCCGCTGCCATATTCACCAAATTATATATAAAGGACAATTTAATCCCACTGGGAGACATGATAAGACCTTTTCTTTGCCAATTTTCACCCTCACTCTTATTCAAACCTTATTTTTATTCCTGCAGCTCCACAATGCAGGATTGTGCTTTCTTTTTTTCTCATGTTCTTTCATATCTTTTCTCAGTATGGCCGCCACCCCCGAGCCTCTCAGACAGCATGCAGTTTATGTAAATCACCAGCCTTTCATGCTCAAAGTTGAATGAGACCTCAACAAAATGCCCTCCCCCGACACACACACACACACACACACACACACGCGCGCAGACACACACACACACACACACACACACACGCGCAGACACACACACACACACACACACACACACACACGCAGACACACAAACATTTCCTTATGTTTCAGTTCTCGTTTTTCTAATTAAATGGATTACCCGGGCTCTGAGAGGGGATGAAGACGAAGATGTGTGTGGGAGGAAGATGGCTGTGCGTGCAGGTGAAGGGTGGTGTTGGGATGGACACGAGTTTGCAAGAGTTAGCAGTTGGGATGGGAAGGAAGGGAGAGACGTGCAGTGTGTGAGAGGATGATGAATGTAAAATGTCTCGGTGTTCCCAGAGTCTGGGTCGTGTTTGAAAGGCCCGGGGTACTGGGGAGGGCGTGTGGGGGGGCGGAGGGGGCATATGCCCAGCTGTTGAGGCGAACCTGAGTCCCCCTCTTTCTCTCTGACAGGCTGTCCTTTTCACCAGTGCATTGCCAGGCTGTCCAGCCCGCTGCCATAACAACGCCACAGGCCCTCTGTCATAGTGGCACCATACAGACAGTCACTGCGGAGGGGCGGAGGGAGCGGGAGGAACCACAGAAGTGAATGAAGAGTCGAGACGTTTCCACCCATGTGAACTTGAACTTGACTGAGCGGCTGGCGGGGGAGGATGGAAATCCATTCCTTGGAGACTTCAGCGATTTAGTTCCCACACTGTTTGTGTATGTTGTGAAGCTTAAAGATCTGCTGTACATATCATGATTACATAATATTATATGAAACAATGAGTGAGTAAATCTTAGTATTAGTATTAGTTTATTTGGGATTATTTAAATTTAGATATGGTCGTAAAGGCTGGACAATGTGTTATTTAATTATGGTCAAATAAAGAAGAAAATAAAATGTTTGTGATTGGATTTTTTAAATTGTCCAATCATGAGAAAATTGAGAAATAATATAAATGTTATAATACATGAAAAAACAAGTTATATGAATCTATATTAACAATAATAATAATAATGATAATATTAGGAAGTGTGATAACAATTGATTTGTTTCTCCTTTTTGCACTATCACACGCCCACTGTTGTTATAAAACAATATTTTTACCATATAATTTCATTATATCATTACCAGTATTTCTACACAAAAAGATTGTCTTTAGATGTTTGGAGTTATCTTCAGAGACTGTTGAGATTATGACTGTGTGAAGCTGCAGCTCATCAATAATGCACCCAGTATATTTAGTGTATCTCCATCTATCTGCCACCGGGTCGGTGTGATGTGCTTGTTTGCTAAAGCCGATGAATGGCGAGCGGTCCACATTGGGGGTCTTAGCTGCTCAGACCCTCCCAACCATGAAGAGCCACAAACAAGTGATAACACGGTAATCGCGTTTATCCCCAGATTAAGACAGGATTGCAGCTGTGGTGTCCCTGTGGGAGGGAAAGGGGCTTCAGGGGCGTAAAACATACAACGTCCCGCCTTTACAGGAGCTCGCAGTCGATCGGTCTATCGCTTGTTTGAGTCTGGTGCTATTTTCACAAGCAGCGATTGTGTAGTGAAACCCGGATCAGAGGGACAATGTGGACGCTGGCTGCTCTTTACCAACAGGTCTGCTGCAGCTGCAGCAGCGACATGCGGCGGCTGAGAGGGCTGCACTTCTGTTCATTTAGTGGCATATTACCTAACGGTCACTCATCGATTTACTTATATTTATTAACGGCTCATCCTTTTTTCAAAACTCCTTTTCAATTAGTTCCTCAATTCTTATATGAAATAAGATGTTTCTATTATTATTGAATACATAGGTACTCGTGCATCAATGCACACTTACTGTTGTATAAAGAGTCATGGGCAAATGTTTGAAGCTTACCCATTTTTAACAAGCACATAGGCTGATTAACACATGTGCTGTACTCACACAGTGTGTATGAGCTCATACTAACACCCAGCTTCACATCTTCCCCTCCCCCCCGAGCTGCTAATTATGGCCTGGCGTCTAATAAAGGAACAGTCACTATTTTTTTTCCAAACAGTGGCGTGAACTAAAAAACAATACTTGTGATGGTACACCTTTAAACACAGATTGTTTCATGAACTGGAGATGCACATGGAGGACAACAGACCTTTGATTGATTTGAACTCAATAGTCTTTTAAATCTTGCTACTTAACCTTTTGTGAAATGTCACATTGTTTTTCCAACTTTTTAATAAAAAAAGGTAGACCAATGCACTGTGGGTTTTCAGTATTTGCAAACTTTAATGATGATTGTTGAATATGTCTATCTTTAACTCAACTTTATATGAAGGCTTATGTTCTTTCTCACCAGAATTTAAAACATGGCAATGTGGAGGCAGCTTTTAAAAAAAATAATATATATATATATTTTTTTTTTTCATCTTTCATAAAACGAACTACACAACTTTGATTGTTTCAGGTGGGTGCTGGGTGCTTAGGAGGAACATGGTCTTCAGTGTTTCTTTGACAGCCCTGGCCGATGGCTAAAGATGTTTGTGTGCTTTTAATAGTAATATTATCTTTCTAAAGATACTTGAGAGGTTTAAGGAAAAAATGCATGACTACTGCTCCTTTACAAAACATCTTAGTGCCAATATATCGACTGTCCATTTTCTTCGCTTCTAATTGAATGTCCATATGTATGTATTAATCGTGCTCTCCAGAGACAGAGATCCACTGTCTGTTGCTGCGCCTTTAAAAACTCTCTGTGCTCGTTTCTATGTAATTATGTTAATGCACCCAGCTAGTCTGCCTCCTATTCATTATCGGCGGGAGTTGCATGATTGTTTCCTTTATTTCCCATCACATAAAGCCACTCTTGTTTTTGTTTTTTTTGGCAGACCTGCTCTATTCCAAAGCAATAGTCTGGCGGAGGGACCAATGGAGAGCGCTCGTGCCTGATGAAGACTTGCATTGCGTTGTGTGTGAGCTTCACACTGCGGATAAAACACACCGCTCTGCAACATCACACCTCAAGGATGCAGTACTAAAACAGACCAGGTACAACTTTCTGATAACGCTCAAATGTAATATAATGTTGATCTGTATGAGTCTGTCTCACACAATTAAGCCCGCAGACTTGTGTTTGGAAAGAGAAGACTGATGGACAGATGTTTGAGGTGGAGGTTAAGGAGGGAAGGTTATGTTTGCATAATCCTGCATATCTTATACAGCATATCTTTAGTCATCAGACACTGAGGTAGATGGTCTTTTTGGAAAAGAAAAAAAAGTGCAAAATGCACATTTAGAAACAATCTCCAGTTTGACTTATTTACTGGCAAATGTTTATTAATGAATTAACAAAAACAAGTAACACTGCTCCCACTTGTGTTTTACTCATCACCCTGGCACTTTGAGTTACTTAAAAAATATATATATTTCCATGTCCATTGTTCACGGGACATCCTTCAGGGGCTGTTTCTACACGTGATACACCTACAAGATATTAATAGTGAATTAACACAGGATGAGTATAATATGTAAAGACTGGAGGTCTGTGATTCTCTGACAAAGCATAAGGACACTAAGGGCCTTAGTCAAGGCCTAATGAGGCTTGGTTACATCATTATTATCAACTTGAATTACATTTAAGATAAAACAAATGTCCCCCATTACATTGAAATATTTTTTCCATTAACACAGAAAATACACAAAAACATTTAAAAACAACTTGTGGTATTTATGTATGTGTTTTAGAACTGCACACCTTTTCCTTCTATTAAAGGAGTTGATTTATATATATTTTCTTTTACCTTGTGTAGGTTTGATATGAGGAGAATATGGTCATATTGGATCTGACAGGTTCTCAGCAGTTTTTAATACCCTTTGTCCAGTGTTTAGAAAATAACACATACTGAATTAGATATCTGTTAATGATTTAAATTATTTAAATATCACTCTTTCTATTAGAAACAATAAATAATTTAACTTGCATAATTTGAATCAGGTCATTTTTGATAAGTACAGCCTCTCTGCTTATGAAAGATAAGAAGTTTTCTATTTGCAGTTTCTTTAAATATTATTTCCCCTAGTGACACAGTGGGAACCCTTTAATGAAATCAAATGTTATGAGAAAATGTTATGTCTAATTCAGTGCTCAGTATAGCAGTTGAGTCATGTAGAGATTTAATGTAGAGATTTAAAAGGGTTCAGCACGTGACCTCACTAATGAGCTGCATCTCTGGAGTGAGATCACACTTGAACACAGCGCTGATTAGGGAGCTGATAGGCAGCTAACAACGGACCAATTAAAGCACCGCTATGTGCCAACACAACCATTTTAGAGGCAGCAGGGAGACTCCCTCAAGATGGCTTCCATCATGATGGCTTGGCAGTGAAGGAGGCTGACCTGAAAAATCTGACGCAGGCCCTTCTTTCAGAGAAGAACACGGCATGTTGCTCTAGGAACATGTTTCTATACCTTTGCATTTCTAACAGTTTGTGTAAAAATGTTGGCGGTAAACTGCTGCACAATCTGTGTCCGTAAATTAAATAATTCCTTACATTAAAGCAGTGTGTGTCATTCAAAAGAAAACAACGTCTTTTGATTCAAGAAACACTTTAGCTTTGCTATTTTCTTCCAAATCAAAATGGTTGACGTTTAACAACCGAGTTCAGAAATACAATATATTGCACAAACACCTGTTTTGATACTATTATGCAAATAAATTTAGGATGTCATGCAATTTTAAGAATTTAAAATGTGAAATGACCGATATCTGTATTTAAATTTATAATGGTTAAATAAATTAACGAAAGCATTTGATTTTATCAAAGCAATTGTAGTTAACTTTTTTGGTGTATTTCACTGTTTGTTCAGAAGCTTTGTGGACCACAAGCAAACAATGTATCAGCAGGGATTTCAATTTAATTTTTTTTATATATAATATAATATATATATATATATTTTTTTTTTTTTAATGCGTTTTTTTTTCTCTTTTGTATATTCCATCTATAGAAAGTCAATAGAAAGATTTGTTTCAGATTTGTTTAAATGATTTAAAAACATTCCTTATACATTTCTTTCTCTTTTTTCTCCGAGTGAAATCTTTGATCTTATATTATCCAAAGTCTTATTTGTTTCTCCCATATCAAGTCGAGTTATTTGGAATGTCATTGCTATTTGAAAGACTCACAAGAAACCAACAAATCACATTAAAAGGAATAAGATATGTAAATCACTGAGGGACATTTGAATTTGTCTGTTTTTGTTCCCTGTTTGGTGGAACTAGTAACTGCATTTCATTATCAAAAAATAGTTGGTGTGAATTGTTATTTTTGATTAAAAAAGTGTTTGGGTTTTTTTTATCAAATATTCAGCTTGTTGCAGCTGTAAACAGTCCTATTAATAAAACACAACTCACCTGAAAGACGTGACGTCCTCTTGTGTGTGTGTTTATTTAACGCAGGAGCACTGAGGTTTGGAGGCCATTCCTACTTTCGGTTATCTAGCTTTATGATGGATGATTAACACTCATACAGCTAGATAACCAAAGACAGGAACAAGCTCCGTTGTCTACGCTGTAACAGCAAGAGGTACGTCTGAAACTTCCTGGGAACAAAGAAAAGGTGTTATGGAGTTAATGTTCATCTAATTACAGGCTTGATTTAACACTGCAGGAGCTTCAATGCAGATTTTGATTATAGAAAACCTGAAACACCTCAACCTTTAACCTTAAAAATGTTCACAGACTGAAACACACCTTTGAAGCCTTTCACACAAATATAATTATTTTAATTAAAATACAACCAAATGTTTTATTCCTCTTGTCAGTCACGGATCACGCCGCACCACTAAATTGGTAATTCAAATTTCAGACAAATACAGTAGCTAACTAATAATGGAAAGAGTGCACTAGAGTGACACAAGTGTCTATTTTTGAGCATTGTGTCTGCTGCCTTTCACAATGTTACTTGTAAAAATACTCCGTGCACACATGTAGTTTTTGGTCTCTGCATAACCCACTTTTTAGATATTCTCCAAGAGCTCCTCTTCACGCTGTTCTTATTGGGAGCAGGCCTTTGACATTTTAATTAGAAAGAAGTGATATTTCTTCATCAAAGCTTCACAAATCTTTGGGTTGTGGACCCTTCCGGGCGACATGCTTTTGCCTGGTAGACATTTTTCATCAATCGCTTCTACTTTTAACCACATATTGACGCAATAGACAACTTTACGTAAATGTTATGTCATTATTATGCTGTCACTGATATGGTCAACAGTTGAACTACTGAATAATTTTTGGGATTTTCTGTATATATATTACTATTATGATCTATACTTTGACTCAAAATACCCTCATGATGAATGTACGCTTTGGGACTAAATGCACTTACAGAATGCGTCACTTCAAAAAAAATCTTTGTACGTCTATGAGAAAATTCTCACAAGTAATAATGCAATTACTATAGTATGATATAAATCAAACATTTTCAAAAGGAAACATACTCCAGACTGTATTTGACAGGACATATAAAGCTTGCACTATTGGTGTGAAGTTTTGTATCCTGGAGGGTTTGCGGCTGTTGGTTAACAGGCCTGCAGCTTCATTCTTGCAATAAGTAAGCTAATGTCTTTATTAAACAGCATCGTATAGATTTAACTCATGCGAGATTTTGTTGTTAGAAATGTAAGACATTCTAGCCCACTAAGACTTCATCTATTTGTTGTGGCTTTGACTATGAAACATTTTGGAAACATTAGACTTGATGGCTTAATGAATTCATACTGTCCACAATAGCTTGGTCTTAAAGTAATTCTCATTCTTAAGGCCATTTGATCTGCATGCTGACAATGAGATGCATCAGGCTTAATTAAAAACCTGCATATATTTCAAACGAACAGTGCGATTGCAGCCAAAAGACTCACTTCCTCATCGTGCCTGCTGCGTCCATGGAGACTAAAACATCCACACGAGGTGCCGAGGAGGGTCGGAAGCATCCTTCAGGCTCCAGATGTGCGGGACACTTGACTTTGGTTGCAACCTCGCTCCGACAGACAGGTGAGCGCGTGGATCGATAAGTCCCGCACCCTCTTGCCCACGCAGCATGCGGCGAGATATCCTCGTTTAATTGTGTGTTTGTATCCGTGGTCTGGTGGGGTTTTGTTTTTTTCAGCAGCACGTGCACGTGCAAGATGAGCGCGCAGATGAGGGACAGGCCGGCCTTTCATCCGCAGTGTGGCGCGAGCGTCTTCCTTCAGTCCGACAGGTCCTGAGGATGCGCTTGTCTCCTCTCACGGAGTGATGTGCCCTCACCTCCTCCCTGCCCTTTTTTTTTGCAAATGACCCCTCCTCCGTTTGCGCTGACGTCACAGCAACGCCAAGTTGGTGATAACCAATCGCATGCGGCCCATCGTTCAGATGGAACTTGCATTGTTTTAGGAACCAAAGAGAAACTGTAGCCCTCTCTAATAAATGTATGTTTTTATTTTTTTTATTTTTAATTATCAATAGCACTAGTGGTTTTAGTTTAGTTTATTTCAATTAATTTCTCCGATGCCAGGGCCTGGGACAGATTAAAGCCCTCTGAAACAAATCTGTGATCTGTGTAGAGAGCTACACAAAATGTGGTAAATGTATTGAAGGAAGCTCATGAATTATCTTTCGGGAGCCTGCTTTTATACACTTACTTAAACTTACTATTCAAACCAATTATATATAGAGTTTACAAAAGATAAAAATAAAAAAGTCACTGTGTCAAACAATGCACATGTGTATGCATATGCACAATGCATATGTGTATCAGCCTGTACACTCCTGTACAATCATCTCTCATTAGCTCCTAAGCATCGCACACCTTACTGAAGACACCAACTATTGACCGACATGCATTTTAGGCCCCAGAAACGTGCATCAGGTCACCTCTGACTAAGGTTCATTGTGATCATCTTTAAGATATTTGAACTGATAGACGTGTCGTTTGGTTAGAGACATTAGATTCACTTTTTCCTGTTCGCAGCTCAGAACAATACCATTTTAGTTTATTTGCTTTAATAAATCGTTGTTTGTTTTAAGGATGAAGACTGTATCCTCCGTTTCACAGAGGTCAGAGTCCTGAAACAATCCCAACGATTAAAATAGATCAAAAGCTGCTCTCATTCTGGAATGATTTATACCTCATGGATTTCCTGCTTAGCCCATCAAACTAATCCCAAATTGTCATTACATTTGTATAATTATTTCCCTCTTCATACCTATAAAGCTTAATGCAACGAATTCATTGCTCCCTCCTACAAATCAGCAAGAACGTTTTAAAACATATTCTGGTTTGTTTTTAAAAAGGTAAACATTTGATGGAAAATCCAAGTTTCCGTTCAGGGGAAATAATATAATAACCATAAACAACCTGTGTGACTGCGCATGAGAGGCGTACAGACGTGCTAGACACTAGCGCCACCTTCTGCTCACATGGTCTCTACACACTCTCACATTAGAGACGAGGGTAGCTCGAGGGTAACGACGACGAGCAAGACCCTGTTTGTCTTCAACAGATGAATGCAGCTATTGCAAAGATGGTAACAAATGACGCTGATGATGACAAATGATGCCGCGTGTAAATGAGCATTTATATATTCAAAAATCATTGTATTGTCAAAGAAATAATAAGTTATTATCAGTCATGTAAATAATAAAAAGTCTTAGTATGTCAGAAGTAGGTATAAAGTGGACATAAAATACTAAAAAGTCTTGACAACTGTCTAGAATGTATAAAAAAATAACACAAGTTATGGAATAGTTTAGTATCTCTAGAAATGTACAACAGTACGGAAACAATGAAAGATTACAAGTCATATTATTTGAAAAACAATCGCAACAAAAGTAATTGTGTAGTCGTTAAGTTATGGAATACAAATTTCAAAGTGATCAGGATATTTTTTCAAGAACATCAAATGTTTTTTTATAAATAGTATGCTATACTTTTTTAGAGCATCTAATTGTCACATTTTTGCTACAATATACTTAGTGAAACAATAGTCGAGGTATGAAGACAGTTCTCCAGCCTTCTCATGTCATTAGTTTCCCTCTGTAAATAGTCTGTAAACTGGGTTTAAACCACCAACCTGTGATTAAAATGGGCAGATTAAAAAAAATAATTATTACTATTATTAATTATTAATCATGGGAGGAAAAAAAGCAGCAGATAATTGTGAGTGGCAAAGACCTTTTAATATAAAATACTGCAGAAGGTAAAAAGGCGACAGGATTAAACAGCATCGTTTTGTATTGACACAAAATATTCACATCGTTGACTTTCAAGGCAGACCAGAGCTACCAATTAATACATGACACAAACATCAACCCTACGTTACTGACAGCGCTTCTTGTAGAAACCAGCCGGTGTCCTTGTGTATTACATATTCATTTTTATACAAAAAGTACAAAAAAATAAAATACAAAACTAAAAAGAGGACTAATGTGAAAACATTCCAGGAACCCCAGTGTGAATGGTCTCGAGTAGCCCAAGACATGTGCTCTCAAACAGGATTCTTCCGCACGTCGATTAGCGCGCTGCTGGAAGTCAGCGGCCCGGCGCTGAGGCTGGAGCGTCGGGACTCTCTGCGAGACTTTACCACAGGCAGCGTCGGCGTCCCCGTACCCGACTGGACGACGCGCTTAGTGGGGACGTCCGCAGCTGCTTGAAGCCAGAACTCCTCCATGACAGCAGGCTCCTCCGTAGGCAGAGAGGAGCGTCTCCACGTGGACGGCAGAGGGGTGTTCACCAGCTCACGCATTTCTTCCCTGGACCTGGAAGGTCCCGTCCCCCTGCCTGCGGGACTGTCCTCAGGACAGCGGCTCAGCTTCTCCGTGCTGCCGAGGCCTGCTGGTCGGCCGTCAGCTGCCGAAACTGTAAGACAAATGGAGTTGCCAGAAAAATTATTATCGAGAATTATCCAAATGATTTGAGCAGTGATACTTTACTCGTTTACTCAAAGCTTATTAAGTATAAAAACAAAGATTGAACTCTGAGGGTCAAATATTTGAACAATAAATTAAAATAGGTCAGAAGCTGTACGGTCCAGCTGGACTAACTAACGTGATGTAGAGCTCGTCCACAGAGAGCCGAGGAGAAGCGGCAGAGTGATAAATAGGCTAAAGATGGCAGGTTTTAACAGCACGCGTTTGCAATGTCTATCAAGCACGTTCATAACACTAAATCAATGAAAATACAATTGATCAGTCACCACGAGGACATTTCTTCAAACTTTCTAAAAATGTTTATGGAATCCCGTATTATAACTTATGACATGTTGTAACAAATGTTTACGGCATACAATGACCTTGAGATAATGCTTTTTTCAGTACTTTTACTCTTCTTTTTTTTACAGTGTGGTATTGCAAACTGTTTATATTTTAACAAATGAATGCCAAATTACCTTGGTTTCAAATGTGAATATTCTGGTTCTCTTAGTCGTTCGCATTAGGAAACTTAATATCTTTTGGGTTCAAACTGTTGAACCCCTTTGGGGTATTTTCTTCAAGAATGAAGGTTTGTTTGTTACTGAGATTCAACTTACGGATCACCGAATGGAATTACATGATGATTTGTAAACGAGAATTCACACTCTTGTCTTCAAGAAGTGAAGAATAACATAAAAAACTAAAGCAATCAGCTCCAGGCTGTGAACATAATGAGCATGATAATCATACATATTAAAACCCTTTTATCTAATAACACTTCTACCTTTACCAGCATCTTTTGTCTGGCAGCCGGAACCACAGAACCTCAGTTTGTTGCTTAGTTCCAGGTTTGCTGTCTTGTAGTGGGTCAGTTCCTTGCTGAGGTTATGGATCCATCCTTCATACTGCCTCTGCCTTCCTGCCAGGCCCTCGTCTATTTGCTCTGGGGGGGAAGACACCATGGTATATTTTACACATTTTATGAGATTATTATAAGAAATTATCTCCTTATTTGTTTGTAGCCAGAAAAATTTAAAACATCTTCTAACTTAAATAGTCAACTATTTAAAATATAAACTATATCCAGAGTAGATCAAAGATTTATAATATATATGCTGTGCTGCAATCCACACACACATGCATGCAACTATTGTTTTTACTAATAGATTACAGATAAAAGGTCCTGCACCTCGACACTGCTGCAGTAGGAGCTGCACACTCCGCTCGTGTTCCTTCTGCTGTTGTGTGAGCCGACGATCCGTGTCGAGTTGTGTGCGATCGAGGGCGTTCTCCAGCCACTGCACCAGCTTTTGCTGCTCATCCAGTTGCATTTCAAACTCAGCCAGCGCGAGCTGGAGTTTACGCTCCTCCTCCCGCAGAGACACCACCTAAAGGGAATACAGACACTCGCTCAGCGTTCTTATTGAAGGGTGAACGCGTGTTTCTGTCACAATAGGTCGTTTAATGTCATCAATTACAATAGTGTGGTTGTCACACATCTAGTCATTAGATCCACATCTATTTTTGTAATGTAAAGTAGATGAGAACATGGTAAAAAAAAATGCACAGACCTTGTCGAAGTACTTGCACAGCAGAGCTCTGGTCTCAGAGGCAGACAGGTAACTGAGTTTGGCCATAAGATTCATCTCCCACTGGGAGAGCACGCTGGCAGACGCCCTCAGCTGCCTCTGCCTCTGAGTGATGGCCTCATTCTTGTACTCAATGGCTGCATCCAGAGCCTCAATAGCCTCATCCAACTGGAAAAGTGTTCTCTCCTCCTACAAATGTCAGCGTGAAGGAGGAAATGGATGGAGGATGGACATTCAGTCACAAACAGGTAATACATCAGCTTCCAGGGAGGATTTGTTACTGCTGCAACACCATAACTGCCATGTAAAGTACTTCACTGCAACACAATAACTGGGAACTTTTAACTAATTTTGTAAATAGTTGCAGATTTGTTAATCTCAACCATAAAGTGATTTACCACCCCACCCTCCCTGCAGATGCCTCAGTAGAACAAATCCAATCATCCAGCACTTTCTATGATTGTTCACAAGATAGTAATCCCTTTGTCATTCGCAGGCCAGATTGTATTGTGCATGTGTTGTACCCCAGTGATGCTTTGGCATGGCTAGCAGCAGGCGGCAAGCTAGCCATGCCACTTAACATTTATTCACAGACAAATCTCAACTGTGCACACACTGTAACATGGCTAATAACTACCTACTGGCTTATGTTATGAGGCCACAGTAGCTACCAACACATCAGAGGGCTGAACGGGGGTGATGTGTGCAGGTGGTAGTGGCAGTTGAATAAAATCATGTGGCTTTAAAACAGGAAAATAAAAGAAATAACCACCCGGACGCCATCTTTTCGTTTTACTCCAACGAGCGACCTCTGGTGTGCCGTGCGCAACAATACATTACATCAATGACGAACAGAAAATCAAGCGTCTGCAGTTACTACGGTAATAATGATGCTCGAAGGACTTCTCAATACTGCCTTAGCAGAACACCGACAGAGCCTAGCTTGAACCCAAGAATAATATCTGACCTCAGGTGAGAGGAGGCTCCCCTGGCGCAGCTTATCGTCCAGCTCCACTCTTTGTTTGAGCAGCGAATCTTTCTCCTGACGGAGGTTGGAGATCTCCTGGCGAATCTGCTGCGAGTCTTGAGCACTGCTGCTGCGGAGAAGACCATTCCTCTCGCTCAACTCTTGCTCAAGTGACTCAATGCGCCCCGTGAGCGTCACCAGGTTTTTACTCAAGGCCTGGAGGGGGAATGAGAATAAATGTTTTAGCATTTTCCTGTTGCCCGTGTCCCCGAGAGGAGTTGTTTGAGGTTTGCACCACCTGACTGGAGCGGAGCCTCTTGGTCTCCAGTTCACTGCGTTCCTGCAGTAAGGCTTCTTTCTTGGCCAGGATCTGCTCTCGTTTAGTGAGCTCTCCTTCTAGATCTTCCAGTTCTTTTCTCTGGTCCAGAACCCGCTCCATCTCCTCATCCAGCCAGCGCTTTTGTTCTTCAATCTTCTGCTCACAGGGAGTCAAGACACGAAAGCCCACACATCATGATTACATTTAGACCCAGACACACAAACCAACACAGAGTCCATGCCTCTCTAACAAAATGACAAACAGTCAAAACATTGTAGGAACATTCAAAGTGAGGAGAGACACAATCTCCTTGTGATCCTTGTTGCACCTGTTGTTCTTCCAAGGAGATGACGGAGCCGTTACTGCCGCTGCGTCTCTGCCTGTGGAAGGCAGCGACCTCCTCCGTCTTTATTCTCAGAATCTTTTGCTGCTGCTCATTCTTTATCTCCAGTTCCTACAGAGGGTTGGAGAGGCGGGACATTAAGGTCACTGACAGGATTTGGGGCTTTCGATAGCCAGACATTTGGACGTTTAATGGGTAGTGGTACATCTTTTTAAGAGGATAAAACAATGCCCTGAGGAGCCCTGTGTTCAATTTAACTTTAAACCATCTACAAGCACCTGTTGAGGACTGCCCTTAAAAATAATTGGCAGTAAACAGTCTGCTTCATTTCAACCTGAAGGTTTATAAGACAACACAAGTTGGGGTTTAAAGGTAAGTTCATTGACTTTGGGTAGTTTTACAGCATTTCTGACTAATGTTTTGGTTTTGTAACTGCCTGATTTTAGTCACCTTCACCATATTTCCCTATCAGGTAACAAAATGAAAGAGAATAATACCCTACAGAAGCAGGCGTGACACTTATTGGAATGACTACGTTAGGTTTGATGAGCCTGTTTGACCTCAGCATGAATGCTGGAGAACAGAGCTTAATGCTACTGATCTGGCCTGCAGTACCTTGACTCTATGAGTTCTTCTTTGCATCTCGCTCTCCAAACGCCTTTTCTGCTGACTTTCCTGGCGCAGCCGCCTTTGCAGCTGCTCCTGCTGCTGCCTCATACTCTGAACGCTTCTCTCCAGCTCTACGACACGGCGTTCGCTCTGGGCAGGAAGGTTAGCCAGACGAGCTGTATCCCTCTGACGCTGACTGAGAACCTGGTATGAAAGCAAATCACACAAAACAAAGAACAGTACAGTGTTATACACATCAGGGACACGACATGGGTTTAGAATAGTAAAATTGTCTTTCCAATGCCAGACTCAGCATCACTACATCTCTGGTTGTCTGTTACGTGTTATTAGGGATCAATACAGAGATGTGGCAGTCGAACCTGAACTTTGCTCTGAGCAGCGGCGATCTTCCTGCGACATTCCTGTGCTCTGGTTTTGTCCGTTGTGCTGATTTCTCTCTCTTGTCTCTCCAGATCCTGTAGCTGCCGTTGGGCCTCCTGCAGCTCCTGTCGAGCCTGCACAGCTTCACTCTCCAGAGCTGTGATCTTATGGCTATATTGCTTGTTCAGGGCCTGCGCATCCTTACCTAAAAAAACCCCCATAAAATAATGAAAGAGATTCTGCATTTAGAAAAGATTCAGAATGGATGATGAAAATAGCTACCAGTTTTAACCAGCTCCTTGATGAGTTCTTCCTTCATACGGATGGTGAGAGAAAGCTCCCTGATCTTCTGTTGTGCCTGAAGAAGTCCCAACTCGGAAACGCCCTCAAAAGCTTTCAGACTTCCGCGCACCGAAGTCTCCCCACTACTGGAGTTGGCTACAGAATACACAGGAGATCAGCTGAGTGGTATTGAAGGTAACAGAGCTCATCAAATGTCAAATACACTCCGTGAAACTACAAAAGCTGCTATGCGCATATGATAATAATAATCAGATGCAAATCAGCGTTGGTTGGACACTTGCATCCCATAGCAACCAGAAATAGTGCATGTCGTGTTAAATCAAATTCATTGATATATTTATTATTATATTTAAGTTCATATAGATAATAATTCAAGCCCTGAAGTTTCCCTCAACACAAGATGCAAAATGCCGTCTCTATGCAACCGCAAAAGCTATGTAAAAGTTTTCTCAATGAATGAACAATTTAAATTTAGAAATGGGATTAATATTTATGTCCTGGCAGCAAACAGCAGAAATCCTGTGGATCCATCATTTTAACATGCCTCTCAAACCAATTGTAAATATATTTCTAACTTCATTTGTTAAGACTCACATGCTTTTCTGGCGAAACAGGGGTGCCGGTCGGGCTCAGGCAGGGATAAGAGTCCTTTAGCACCAATCACTAGTCCCAATGACAGCATGTCCCCCTTGGTCCATGTCGGGTTCACCTGTCTGACAGAATCATACCATTACATACATGTCATACATAACACAAGTGCATGGGCTCAGTCTGTTATGTGTGCAATATTAATACCATGTAACACTCACAGAAAGAGTGAAAGCTGCAAACTATGAGTTCTATAAACATAACATACTTGCGTCTCTCCTGGCTGAGGTTGGGTTGACTTCCCTCTTCTTCTGTGTCTTGCATTTCTGCTCCAGCTAAGGTCTCCGGCTCCTCATAAAGGCTTCCACCTTGATCCCTATAGAGCTCCCCACCCACTGGACTGACCTGTAACTACACAAATGACCTCGCAGATCTACTAACATGTAAGCCACGGCATTATTTGGTAAAGTGTTTAATTAATTTGGATCGGCATAAACAGTAAAAAAACAAGCTAAAATGAAGTGCGCAAGTGCGCTTTTGTTGTGTGTTTTGGCTTGTTAAAATAAAACTCTGTTCCCATGCAACTTTGGTAGTGGCTCGCTACATTGACGACCACACGCCTTCATTTCTTACCACGTTTGAAACATTTGAATCTACAAAACACCACAGGCTGAAACACTACCAGTGCTTGGTTACCTGTCTGTATGTGCCTCCATTCTGACTGTTCTGCAAGGAGCCCATGGGGGCGGTGTACGGCCGTGGTCTCAAGTTAAGGCCCAGGCCCATCAGCCCTGGACTGGACAGCAGACACTGTAGTTGCACGATTAAGTCCTGTTGCTCCTGCAGCTTATCACTCTGCGACAGAACGAAAGCAATCAAAGTATCATTATGTTGAAAAAGGTGTATGCTGATGCTGGTGACCCATGAATGTGGCATGTCACTACATTAATGGGAAACAGTATCAAAATTCCAGCGCATCTCACCTGCTGCTTGTATTGCTCCATAGCGTCCTCCAGAGCCGCTAAAAAGTCTGCGTTCTCTCCCTCCAAGCGCTCGATCTGTGCCTGAAGCAGGACGATACCATCCTCTTTGTCTCCATGCTCATTGCTCCACCTGTCCTCCACAGCAGTCTCTGCATCCTGGGTAATGTTTTTTTTTGTGACACATTCATACCAAAGTTCAGACTAAAACATTCACATTTTCTTGCTGTGAAAGAGACAAACCTGGTTCCTCGCAGGTGGTCTTCCCCTCCTCAATGCAACACTGTCCTCAGTGGAGCTGTTTTCGATGCCGCTGTCTGGACCCGAGGCAGTGGTCAGTCCACTGCGCTCCTCCTCCACTGAGCACAGCCACTCCTTCACTCTCACACTCTGCTCTGCCGTCAGAGCCCCTTCGCTCTGCAGCTCCCGCATCAACCTGCGATATATTAATAATACAAGATGTGAACGAAGGGAGCACTCATACTTCTTTTAAGATGATGCTGCCTATAGCTTTATGCCAAAGAACTCAGCTTTTTGCTGGTGTTCACACAAAACATGTCAGTGGCAATTTACTTATGTCAGGAGTAAGCTGGACTCAATCAAAAATGAAAAAAATCTCTAAAAATAGAGTATAATTTTTATGGATTAATTTATCTTGTTGAGAAATTGGATTTAATGTGGCTATAGGGGTTTAAGTATAGTTCATATTAAGGGGATGGTTTGAATAAACAAAAGGATTATCACTGGGTAGAAATAAAGATGCCAGAGCTGAATGGCATGAAATAGAGCATAATTGAATATAAAATGTGTATAAAATATACACCCTCATTCATAAATCAATTCAAGATATCAGAATAGTTATAGTTATAGATACTTAGTAGCAGTCAAAGTATTTAATGAAACCCGTACAGCAAAATAAACAAACAAGGGAGACTACATTAAACTTGATCAATCAGTGCGCCTTAACCTGTAAGCGGTGTCTGTGCACGTCCTGTAGTGGGCGCTCTGGGCTTGCAGTCGGCTGATCTCTCCCTCCCCGAGTCGAGGTCTCCGGTTTGGATCGGCGTGAGAAATGATGCGGGTCTCTGAGCGCTGGCGGTTTTCCAGGGCTCTGCGAAGGGCCTTGATTTGTTGCTCCAGCCCCTCGACCCGATCTGGCTCACGCTTGGAGTTGACGGTCGCCCGGTTCTGAATGTTTCTGGCCCTCGTGGCGTAGTTTAGTGTATTCAGGCTCTCATCAAAGTCCGACGAAGACGGGCTGATGCAGGCAATCATCAGTGTTTTTGAATTTCCACCCAAAGAGTCCTTTAGTATCCTACAGTGAAACAAAGATCGTATGAATAAAGCCGAGGAGACATTTTACAGTTTTTACAGTAGTATACCAAAACTAAAAAAAAGTACCTTGTGATTTTAGAATCTCTGTATGGTATATGAGAGCCTTTCCTCTTGGGGTCCCCCAGTGCCCCTATAACATTTCCAAGAGCCAGAAGGCCGCTGTTGATCTGGATGCTCTCTTTCAGTCTTTCTCCAGTGTTCCCCGTCTTTAGGATGCGCTCAGACCCCGCCAGGTCAACAAAGTGGAACTTGGAAGACAACATTTGTGGTCCAGAGTTTGTAGTAGTCCCATAAAGGCGAGAGCTTCCCCGCCGCTGGTCCATATAGAGGGTAAAAATGGTGTGAGACCGGCTGGAGTTTAGATTCATCTGGGTTGCACCAGTGTGCCTGGCCGTGTTTCCTGACTCCAGTAAACTCAACACCTCGTCGAGGCCCTCCACCTCGCACTCCTTTACGCCAAACAAAACTACAAAGTCAGGGAGACAAAAAACATCAACGGAAGATTAATACACACACAAATGCTACGTAACATTTCATATCACATCCAAAGTGACACGCTTACACAATGTGCTTCCATACCAATGTTGCCTTTATCTTCCCGGATGTGGATGTCCTTGCTGGCCGTCTCCACATCCAGTAAATCCTTGAACTCCTCTTTGTAAACCTCCAGGTAGGACACTCGGACGGAGAAGTCTGAGAGGTCATTTTCATCTAGCAGCTTGAAGACATCTGCAACAGCCCTGGGTATGATACCCTGCTCCTCATCCCGAAAGGAACCTACAAACACAATAAAAACACACGGAATGAACGCAACTGGCCGGTCGTGGTAAAGATTAGAGTATTAGTGTTTACGTTGTTTGACCAACTGATCCGTGCTGCACTTTCCACCTGGTCTTTTCTTTTGAATTGTTTTATGTAAAATGACCTAAACTTATACTAAGTTTAATGCAGGATGAACTGGGCTGAAAACAAATGAGCTGAATGACAGAAAAAACTTACAAATATTAGCTTCTCCGATGGTGTAAGTCTTCCCTGAGCCCGTCTGCCCATAGGCAAAGACCGTAGCATTGAATCCTTGGAAGAAAGCATCTATGAGTGGCTGGACAGACGAGGAATAAACCTCCTCCTGACAGCAACTTTCTTCAAATAGATAGTCGCAAAGAAAGTTTCGGTCGTGGCCCAGAGTGACCTGACACAGCTCCGAGTCCACAGTGATGCAGCTCTCGTGGCAGTGGAGCAGCTCTTTGGGGAGCAGGGGACGCACCCGGACAGCGACTTGCACTGCGGAATAATCCGCTCGGCTTTGGCCACTGGGCACTTTGGGAGACATTTCCGCTGCTACGTACGGATCATCTTCGGGCCACTAGAGGGGAGAGAGGGATTTTTATTAACATGGTCATCTGGCTGAAGAATGATTACATAATAATGCAGCAGAACTTATATGATGCATGAGATAAAGGATAGGTGCACTGGTTTTATTTGGCTAGATCGAGCACCTGGATGCGCCGGTGTTCTTTCCTGCCATTGATACGCGCAGGTAAGATCCGTTACTTCACATTCATGTGTCACAACTTAGATAAAAGTTCTTTAGTGAGGTCGGTTGTCTTTGACTGGAGTCACTTGGGCTCTACGTTAGCGGCATTATTGCAAATAACGTCTTTGTATCACCGCGGCGCACATGAAGCAGCTAAAGTCAACCTACGTGTTGCCATGTTAGCCAGATGTTAGATAGCAGCTACCGTTAAACGCTGGTAAGTTAGTCACCCTGAACGCGTCAGGCGGGTCTGTCATTTATCTGACTGTTGTGATAACGGTGTCGTGTAACTCACAGAAACGTGCACGCACGCTGCCTCTATCCGAGGACTCGCTAACAGGAAACCTGCCTCAGCCTCTCGCGCTAGTTCACACATTCCTCCTCAGCTAGGCTAAAGTTAGCCCGCTAGCCAGAACAAGCAGACCAAAACAGGGGGATGCGGCGGGATGTCGTCACCGCGACCCGCTACTCGGAGACTCACTCCCGAAGGGGATGGCTAACGTTAAACGTGTGTGTCGGTAGGTTTAGTTTCTGCTCACGGATCACGGTTAAAAACAACTTACTTAAACTCGGCTGAAGTTGCCCCCATGGATCCGGGATAACGCTGGAGTTTCTTTTGGGGAAGTGTGGAGGTTGAGGGGCAGGCGGAGCAGGGGGCGGAGCCAGAGGGTTTGGGCTGGTTTTGTGGGTGTGGTCTGGGGCCCATCACGGCCGAAGCGCCCGAAATCAGAAGGGAAAATAGTGATTTAAATTCTCCAATTAGGGCGACTGGGAGTTTTAAAACGATACCAATGCGTATTAAATAACTATAAAAATAACATATGGATGAATCTTTATTAAATGCAGAGCCATATTGAACACAATACAGTAAGGAGTAACCTCTTAGAAATGGGAGAAGATTTGGCTTGACTACCCAGTGACTAAAACGCTATTGCAGCAGCCCAGTTATTCCAGTATTTTGCAGACTACTTCTGCATATACAGATGAACGCTTAGGAAGAGATCAACACTATCATCATTCCACGTTACATGCAGCTATTGGTGAACGGAACAGTTCTGACATATTACACGTTGAGTTATAGACATTTAGTCATCTTTAAATGAAGAAAATAATTGAACTTTGCATACATCTGTTAAATATGTCAAAACTAGTTAAGTCTGGGATTTAGGAAAAAACAACATGGAACAGACTTTCAACGGAAACTTCTAGAGGTCCTTTTCAACGAAAGATTGTCAATATTTTATTTACAGTTGCAAAATAATCATGATAAACAGGAGATTGCAATGATTCCAATGTGATCTTTATGGAGTTGTGCATTTTGAGTATTAAGGAAGACTGGGAGTGGTTGTCTGAATAGTGCACTCACAACGACAACATCAGTCTTCCAAAGCATTCAAAACTTACAGATGACATTTCATCTGCTTTAAACAAAGACATAGATTCATTGTTTGACAAAAAATACAAAAAAATACAATACAAAATACAATTTAATTAAAATTACCTTGGCATGGCACTAAACCCAAGCAGATATAATGTCAAACTCATCCACAAAGAAAAAAATCTGTCTGAAATACATGAAAGATTTTCTAGAGTCTAAATCCGAATGCCCTATGTGGAGAGTGTGAAAATAGTCTTATTGACATTATTCTGTTTTCATAGCATCACTTTCTACAGTGAATGAGGTTATCTGTCAGGGTTTTTTGGACTGAATTACCCTGAATGACCATGTGGGGTCCTCAGTGATCCAGTTTTATGTATGGCACCTGTCATGAGTCTGTGTGGTCTTGATTGTTCTCATTGCGTTCACCTGTGCCTCGTTCTCTAGCCTTTAAAAAGCCAACTGTGTTTCTTTGTGTTTGCCGAGTCTTGGAACTTACCACCTGGAGCTGAGCTGCGTGAGACACTTTTGTTTTTTAAGATCTTCTGTTGCCTGTTCTTTGGGACACCCTTAGTTTCCTGTTAAATGCTCTGACTTTGTTTTAGTTGTCTTGGAATATTTTGAGTTTTGTCAATGATATGGAACCTTCTACTTTTTGCAAGTAAAGAAACCTTTTTTTTTTTTGACTCAACATACGACTTGTCCGTGTCTGTCTCTGCACCTGAGTCACCGCCACTTGCAGCACAGTGGTAGGCAATCTGCCTGCTACACCGAGACCCAGGTTCGGATCTCGACGATCGTGATAGTTATCAGCAATGCATTTTTACTAACCTCAAGAAATCATGAAGAATGACGACACAAAAGATTGATTAAAAGTGTCATAGGCAGGAACATGCGGATATCAGCAAATGATGAATAAAATGCAGTGCATTTATACTGATTCTCCTGATGATGAAATGATTTAGCAGCTTGTTGTGTTAGTTAGCATGCTGGTGTCCAACACGGTGGTGCTGAGCGCGAGCGGACGTGAAAAACATCTTCAGTCTTTGGTCATACAGAAAGAAGACCTAGTAATTCGACAATACAAGGGGACTAAAGGCTGGCCCATGCTTCTGCGTCGTTGCGTCGACGCACTCGTTTCAATTCATGGTTCAAAAAGTCTTGCGTGTGTTGCAGAGCAATTCACCGCCAGAACAATAGGTGGAGTAATGTGTTTTTGTCGAAGACGACCTTGAGAGTCACGTCTTTGTTTGTGAAAGTTGTTGGTTTGTTTATTTATCATAGACTTTATTGCCCCGTGCATCGCCACTGCTGCTTTTCATCGCGGACACATTTGTCCAGTATTTTCCTTCACAACTGTGCACCTCTCGACTGGCAAACCGGCGTTTGCGGAGATCTCCCTCCATGAATCATATCTACGCATTTCTTCTGACAAAAAGTTCTTCAATCTGATCCGTTCTCTCGTAAACATTCTTCATTTTAATAATGGTGGTATTGGGCTATGAAAACGAAATGTAAGACTCTGTAAAGGATGTAGTTAGCAGACAAACATCTGCCTAAACTTAAAAAATAAAAGAGGCATTTTTGGGAGACGGATGCAAGACCGGCAGACGGAGATGGACAAAATGAGGCGCAAGATGCAGGACAAGGAGACAAAGAAATAGAGGAGAGAACAGAAGAAAAAGGAGACCATCCAGGACGTCAACATCAACGTGCAGAACACTTTTCTTCACCTCCCACTCCATCCTACCTCATCCATCTACCCTAAAAAAAAAATGTAAACAAATTTTTTTAAACAAAAAACATCCCACCTCCCACTCCATCCTACCTCATCCATCTCAAAAAACAAATAAAGGAAAATTCTTACCCCAATCTGCTGGCTACTGGTTATCACTAGATTGTACTTACAGACCAACTTATTTTACTGTTCACTACAGTGATTCACTTATTGATGACACATGTAGACATTAGTAATTGAAATATATTTATTAACTTGGGACAGTAAATGTTGAACACTGATAGATCAACAGATTTGTATAGTCCTACACAAACAACAAACAATCTAAATAATTAAACTAATGAATATCAAACCATAAAACCAAATATAAAGAATGATGTACAAAGTCACAAATGCAAGAAACCAATATATAAACAAATTACAACATGAATATTACAAATAATTGGACTTAAAATGCTAGATGGAACTCCCCCTATTATTTCTCTTCTTTCCTCCTTTCAGCCTCCAATCTCTGTTTTTCTTTCTCAAAGAAAGCAGAGCCCTGGAACACTCTCCACGTCATTTCCTTATCCATGCCCTGGTCTTTGTATAGTGAAAAGATTTTAGCGGGGCAGAAAATGTACTTCCCTGTTACTCCAGGGAACCGAGTTTGAATGTGACGACTGTTTTCTCTTCCTCTTCTGCTGTCCTTTCTCTGTCACCCTTTTCTGTGTGGCATCCAGTTCTAGCTGAAAGAACTTTGTCTTTCGTGTGTCCCTTCTTTTGCCCCGGTTGTTGTTGTTGCTGTTTATGTTGCTGCTGCTTTTCCATGACGTTGAGTACAACCTTCTCAATAGAGGCTTGAGTCAGCATCTGAACAGGTGGAGGTGGGTGAACAATTGCAACCGACATCGTAACAACTGGCACACTAGTGGTCTCACTCGCCTCTGTCAGAGAGTGACAGAGTTTCAGCCTCTTTTGCAGTTTTTCTGGACTGACGTTTAAAGAGGAACTGGTGTTCAACAATTTGCCGAGGTGCTTTACATATTGTAGGATATGTAGTTTTGTTGTTGGGTGGAGCATGCTGTTGGGGTCTGTACAGGAGTTGTGCAGAGCAGCGTAGTCCTGGTCCACAAGCTTCAGCATGTCTTTCTGCTCACGGTGTTTGTTGAGCAGGTGGTCGATAACTGCCAGCGACGGCGGACGTGGGGTTTCTACAGGAACAAAAGACGGAGTATAATAAGTCATTCTGACCTAGAGATTCAAATACTTGTATAATAAATATAAACTTCCATTAAAAGCTCATGAAAGACTGGTATTTGTATGTAAATGTTTATTCAATAACACCCTAAATATATTTTCACATCTTGTAAAAAAATGGAAAAGTGACACAAATGTATTACGCTATCCATAAAAATGTCCAAAAAAATGTCCGTGTGTGAGATGTTTACCTGGCTGTATAAATATACAGGGTATAGTGTAACATATACTATATTGTTAGTATTTACAGCTAAAGACATTTATAGCTGGCTGTTCTCTAAGTACGTTTACAGTATATAATGTTTAAACAGTATAAGATGAACAGCTGGTGAGAATCTGTGTTAAATTACGTACAGCAGCAAACGCTGCATATTTATCTGAATAATTATTACACATTATATGTCATTGACTTACTGTTTAGTGACTTCCTCACAGCACGAGGTCCGACGAAGGTGCACCGTTGCGTCAGTGCTCTGTCCGGCAAATTTGTAATTTGCGATTCTGGGCTATACAAAATAAAATGACTTGACTTGACTTGACTTGTCCCGGGTAGACTGACAGAGAATGTCCAGAGAAACGCTTTGCATCCGGGTAAACGCTCGGTCCGCACAACAGCGCCACTGGTGGCCAAAGATATTTTACATCCGTGATGGTTTAGCACTACCATAGAGAATTAATGGGTTTTGGTTTAGGGCAGAGATTCCCAAAATGTGGGCCGCGGCCCACTGGTGGGCCGCGAAGGTACTGCAGGTGGGCCACGAGAGGTCATTTACAAAAAAATAAATAAAATGTTTTTAATTTTCAATTTGGAAAAGTTTGAAATTAATATAATATTAAAGTAAATACATAGCTCTGGAGAAAATGGTATACAAAACATACATTGTCGGTTAATACATTTTTAATCGGTTAAATTCTTAAGGTAATTTAATCATCCCTAGTTTATGTTTTGATCAGAGTTGTGATTAAAGGTTTAGGTGGGCCGCAAAAGATTTTCAGATTTTAGCTAAAGAATTCACAGGTGCCGCGCATGCACATTTGTCCCGTATTTTCCTCCACAACTTTGTGCACCTCTCGACTGGCAAACCAACGTTTGTGAAGATCTCCCTCCATGAATCGGGACCTTGAAAAATGGGTCGACGCATGCAAAGGACGGACGGAGTTGGGAAAAGGCAGGCAAGGAACATGCAAGGGGGTCTTGCGTCTGCGTCGCTCTGAAAACGCAGAAGCATAAACTAGGCTTAAGCCACACTAAACACAGTTTAAAGCCATTTTAAACGTAAAATGGAAAAATACGTACATCCCTGTTGTATAAATTAAATGCTTATAGAGCCCCTCTTACACTTGTCTCACTCACAAACACACAGGTCTCCTAAAGATATTTCTGTAGATCAGTTTGTCTCACCTGCGCGTGCTGTTCCTTTGAGTACCTACCAGCCGAGTGCTCTGCTGTCGTGTCCTTTATAAAGCCGCTCGGTGGCCCGACCGCCTCCTGACGTCACAAGCACAGACTGCATGTACCTTTATGCCAAATGATATGTGTGTATATTACTTTTATCATTTTGCAATATTTCTGTGTAATAATAATACTATAATAATAATAAAAATATCCATAATCTTACTTGAATAATACTCGCATGCAAGAATTGCAGCACAAAGTGTGTTACCATAGGGGAGAGTAGACATAGATTGAACATCAAATAAAGGGAAATAGGAGGAAAACCAAACACAGGAGCCATAGCCATTTGTTGTTATCTTTTCTACATCAGTGGGGGAGACTTGATGGTTTAAGATGAAAAATCCATTTGTGTGTTTATAACACAAATACAGATGTCTAATGGAGAGCTGTTCTTCATATTTACAGCATTCATTGGTTCAGGTTGTTGTTGGTTTTCTTATTTCATTTCAGTCAGTTCTCACAGACCATGCTTGAAGCAAAACTCTCTAAACTTCACACCCAACTATTGATTTGCCCTTACCAATCATCACCTAACTATTACTCTGTCGGTAGGCATGTCCAGACCCCAAGTGTGATGCTCACTCGCGATCTGACATTGAGTGACAAACTGAGAACAAACCCAGGCCTCGGACCACACGACACTTTGTTATATCCCAGCAGGGTTCAGCCATTCACCATCTAGGTGAACCTGTGGTTTGACTTTATTTTATTAACAAGATATGAACGCGCACTTAATTCATGCACCATCCTCTCATTTCAGGAGTGATTGCATTGGGGCCTTTAATGGGACTTCAAAGTGGATTCTTTATATCAACATATCAACATTATATCATCATTCTTTATATCATTCATAGCTGAAAAGATGAAAATAAAAGAGTTGACCTGGGAATCACTTTTAGTCCTCAATTTAACTGACCTGTCCTTTTCTTCACTGACACTTACTCATTGTAGAAGAAACGTTAAGGGGACCAACATAACTTTATTTATTCACACAAAGGTAAACGGTTTGATTTGTAATAATAGCCAATACGAATAAAGGGAACGGTAAAACAGGCAAAATGTCAATATCCACAATGTTGACAAGTGTTTGAGGTGTGAGTATGTTGGAACCACAGTCTTGTTTTTACCTGCTTTCTTGTAAAGTCTCCATTCTTAGGAGGCTATTTTTACAGCAGATATTCATACTTGTCATAGTAGAAAACACACAGGTGTTAATAATATTAACAATAACTCCTTTTCTTTTCAAGTTTCTCAGAGACCCATAACTTGTGATGGTGACATTAGAGCAGTTTAGTGACATTCAGCCATCATTAATATCGCTGATGTCCGGGCTTTTTTCAGTGTGCAAAGCAACAATGTTTTCTTGTAAAAAAAATGTTACACTCCAAAAATGATAACAAAGCGTGACTTGCAGAATGACCTTGACTCCTTGGGCCTGTGTGCGTTGAGCCTGTGCGTAATAAACAGTGCAGTAAGAAGGTATTATGTCAATGACACAATTTTTATTTGGCTTAATGGGTCTGTACTTCAGCTCATGGATCTTAAAGGGTTCACTGACTTTAAGGTTGAATAAATGTCATCAGCAATGCTTGTTGTTTGAAAGCGCTGGAGTACAACCCAAACCATAATATCACATCCCTACACGGTTTTGTGTGCACTGTTTAAGTCATTTTTTTGAGATGTCTTTATTATTGTTTATCTACAGCCACTTGGCTGGATGTTAACAAAACATTACACATTCAACACCAAACATACAAAATCGTGAAGTGAGCTACTTCTCTGGATTTCAAAAGCAGTCCAAAAGCATCTTTACCGGTATTTACCCGTATTTGCCACAATGTTAGTTTCCATGACCACCGTCAAGCAGCAGGGGGCAGTGTTGCACCGTGGTTCGAAAACATGATCAAAGACAAAGGTTTTATTTTGTAACGACCTCAAGACAATAAGCTTGAATTTGACTGGGCTGTGTTTGAGTTTGAGAATGGTTGCAGAGAAAAAGAAAACGGCAACGTTTTAAAGCTGCAAAAGCAGATCAGGTTACTGATTTAGGAATCAAATGGGCAACTGTAGGTATTTGCATTTCCTGTCTACTCTGCACTAACCTGCAGCTCATGGGCGTTAAGCTTCCAGCAACATTGGGCACTACTGGCATGCCTGTTACACACCAAAAAAAAAAGAATGGTTCTTAAATCAGTCTTTAAAAGTCAGTGTGATCGTTGTCCTTCCTCATCTGCGTGCCCACATCAAATGGCACAGAGCCAAACTGACTGTGGAATCCCCTCTGCACTCAGCAGACCCAGTCACTCCCCCCTTTGTTCCATCAAACTTCAGAGGACAAACTTTCAAAGCAAGCCCAGCCTTCTTATGACCAAACATCAAAACCAAGTCAGGGATCAGGATATTGATTTCATTCCTGTACACACTGCCAGCACTCATCAGGGTCTCTATCCGCGCGATGTAACTCAGCCACATTAAGGGAGAGAGCAGGAGAGACAGGGTGGTGACAATAGAGGAGTGGGGATGGTGGATGTAGTATGATAAGGACGAAAAGAGAGGAAATGTGAGAACTGGAAAGTGAAACAGCACGGACAAAACACCAGATGCCAGAGCGGGTACTTTTAGAGAGGCAGACCTTCTTAGAGTCCAGTGTGTGAGTAGATCTGTGTACAGATTGTTGTTGCATACCAGGGAGTTGAGGATTATTGGGGGACAGGAGTAAAAAAAGGTGCAAACCTTTGATACTGAATCAACACTCCTTGTGGCTCCCTAAGGACGGACTGAAGAACGGCCTCCGAATTCACCTCCTTGTTGGCTTATTCCATTAAGACCAAAGAGGCAGTGATGTGACTTTAGAACAGTCAGAGGTCTATTCTGCTGTGGTAATAAAGACAGCCGTTTTTAATTCAGCCTGCAGTCCTCAGCCAGTGACTGGTTGGCGTGAGTGAATCGTCTTCTATTCAGCCCTCTCTATTCAGCCATCACTCTCTGTCTGCCTCTCTATCTCTGAGCATCTTTTTTTTCTTCACTCAGCGTGCAATCTTGTTTTAGGATCCTGTGGCTAAAGCTCTGCCGCCTCTTCAGCTGTGTCCTCGTTGTGGAGCCTGCTCTGAAACTGAAGACATCCTGTTAGTCTCTATTGAACTTACACTCTCCCTCGCTATTCACAGATGCACTTTTGTGTGTGTTTTTTTTCATTTGTGAAATGCAAAGGAGTCAATGCTGTCTGTTGCAGCACAGAGGTGACACATTTCATCAAGCTTTGCAAAAAGGCCACGATTTTTCCAAATGCACTTCTCCTCATGCAGGAAAAATCCTCACACACATCTTACGTGCATGTGCATTCTTTTGAATGTGAGTTTTACTTCACATTCAAAAGTTCAAGTTGTTCATGCACTAAAAGAACACAGTGGCCTCTTGAGTGTCTGCTGAACAGCACTGCTCTGTGTACAGCAATAACTGAAGTGTTTCCCAAACAACCACTGCTCACATACAGTATATATATACATATGTATATTTTCTTTTTTTTTAAATATACTTATCAATTTATATATATATATATATATATATATATATATATATATATATATATATATATATATATATATATATATATATGTGTAGATTCTTCTTACAGCATTTTGCATATTGACATTTACATTTTTACAAATTAAAAACACAACTTTATAAGAAATGTTGTTTTAATGATTATATTTTAGCTGTACTAAAACCAGAATATATAAATTCAAAATGATCTTGAAGAGAATTACAAAATATTTACACGGCGGGACTAAATTTCCAGTATACATAATAATGTTCAAATGTTGACAGACTGTCAATTACAGAAATTGCACCTTCATTTTAGATGGTCTGTCTACATTTCCTAGTTACTCCGGTTGAATGCTGCTTCACATTTTTCTGCATCACATCATTGACCTTTTATATCTAACACATTAATTTCTATGTGAAATAAATATGTTCATCCACACCAAACTCCTGCTCCAATAGTTTAACCAACCAAAAGATTTGCAACTCAGAACCCATATTCTGAAACATTTATTGCACACAAGACAGGTGTTTATCCTTCCACTTTAGAGTCATAATGCTTGTTCATGATGACTTTCTACGTTTATGTTTGAGACTTGCAGCAACTTCTTCAGCAAAAGCAAACTTTAAACATAGTCACCACAAAACATCAGATTTTCACCAGTTCTCACCTGGATCCTAATCAGAACCTGTTTTTGACCTTTGTGCTGAAAGCATTTTCCACTTTCATGCTTCCCTTTCTAAAACTCATACTGGGAAACAAACATGGTGATTTTGGTGATGTACCTCCCCAGCTGGACTCGCCTCTCCAGCTCGCTCATTTCCACTTCTGCTTCCAGTGTGGCAGGGCCGTGCACTGGGTTCACCAGCATCAGCTGACCCGTCACACGGTCAGAACGCTGGACTGTGAAGTGGCGCCGAGCTTGCTTTCCCCCCAGCAGGGAGAATCGAAGCGTGTCTCCAATTGGACGTAATGCTGAGACCCTGAACATGACACGAGGGGCTGACAGGTTGGACACAACAGCCAGGTAATGGTAGGAGAAGGAGTTTGGGGTCTGGGAACAGGCCTTGTTGTCCACAGGACAGGGGTTCCGTTCACAACGCCTGAAAAAAAGGTTCATTCAAGGGTCAGAATCGCGGTTTAATGATTGAGCATAGGTCAAAGTTTGATTTTGTTCTAAAACCTCATCCCCACATCTACTTATTCAAATAGAAAATGCTTATTATGTATACAGTGGGGAGGGATCTCGTTTTAGACTTTTTTAAAAAGAGAAAATATTGAGAATGCTCACATAGGTGACGTCTTGACATATGTTGCATTAGGGATCTTAGGGCAGTCAACGCGGACACACTGGAAAGCACCGTAAGTGTTGATGCACATTTGGTCCTTGGTGCAGTTGTTTTGTCTTGTGGCACACTCATCAATGTCTGTGAGAAAACATAAATATAGTGTATAGTATATATAATGTCTAAGACATTTACACAGACAAGACATATGAATATCTCACAGCCGCAAGTTAATTGCGTTATTTATTCGCCGCTGTCTCCTCACCCAATACTCTTAACTTCTATACTGTTAAAGGGTATAGTAGTAACCATCTGGGGTATTCAATCAAAATACGGAAAAATAAAAAAAAATACCTTTACAGCTGCGTCCATCGCGGGTCACATTGTATCCGATAGGACAAGAACAGCGGTAACCTCCAGGTGTGTTAACACAAGCATGTAAACACAGTCTGCCCGCCTGACTGTTATGGAACAGCTCACATTCATCTATGTCTGAATGTGGGGAGAACACACACAGAGTTAGCAATCCGCATGGGGAAAATACACGGTCACAGGGGAGGTGTTAGTCCTACCAGAACAGGTGTTGCTGTCCCTGCCAGAGATGGTGTATCCTGGCTCACAGGTGCAGTGGGTGGTCCCCTGCACCACGGTGCAACGTGATGGACGAACAAAAGGCCCCATGGTGGCAGCCGGCAGGATGGACGCAGCGGCGGTGGCGGCAGAGGTGTTTGTCATGGTGACAAAGACTGAGTGAGAAAGACCAGGAAGACGAATAGTCGGTGATTTCATTCTCTGCTGTAATATTTTCTATTATTTCAAAGTTGCTTTTTTCAGTGTGATTTCAGTGATAGCTTTAGTCCATTGTGCAGATAATGTCCATGAGAAAATTCAACTTCATGGCATGAAAGGCCTCAAAACAGTATACTTTTTTCTGGACATGCTATTGTTACTCGATTATTTTATGGAAATCATCTTGAAATGTTTTTATTTTTTATTTGATGTATTTTTTTTCTGTAAAAAGAGAGCCAATATATCATCTGACATTTTCCATATTCTATTCCATAAGTATTGATGGCCGCGAAAATACTTTTTTTATGTTACGTTTTTATATAGATCATACTTGATTCATCATAGATATTCAGTGATTTAATTCTCACAAGATTCCTCAGAGAGTAGCTCTCATAAGGTATCGAGAGAGAGAGTCTGTTCATGATGAATTGTAGGTTGCCGAAAACAATGAATAATAAGAAACGGCCCTAGCAAACTGTATGTACATGTAACAGTTGGTCTGTAGTTTTGTAATATGGATTTTGACACTAGCCTCTGATAATATGCTGTGCAGAAAAGGACTGTCTTTTAAATGTAATTCTAATATGCACCTGCTAATATTATGGTATCAAAACGTTTGGTGCAACTATGAGGCCCAAACCCCGGGTACCTGAACTGCACTACAACTTTATACTTACATGTTGGCACGGGGCTCTGACAGGTAACTCCGGCCCAGCCTTTAGTACAAATGCAAGAGAACTGGTTCACTTCATCCACACACGTCCCACCATTCAGGCACGGAGACGATGCACACTCATTGATGTCTGAGGGAAGAGACGGGGGACAGTCCATTGCTATATTTAACATATGAACAGAATATCTTTGATGCATGAAATGAAATAGGCGGTGACATCATTGCATATGCATGTTAGAGCGTGAATAAGGAAACAATGGAGCAGATGAGTTGTGTAGGAAACCTGGTGTTGATACGAACAGCCTTTGAGCTGTTATCTTAAAGTCAGTGAGCTGTCAGATGATATACAGCTTGGAATATCACATGTCACTGCATTCAATAAGCTGTCTGGACAACATCCAGGGTACATAAAGAGGAAATATGATCACGGGTCACACATGAAATGTATCGCAACATCGAAAAACGTTGGCGGTTTGCAGGCAAGCACAAAAAAAAAGAATGGCGAAAGAAAGCAGGAGGGGGGGAGGTTACAAGGGGACGATGACAGGGTTGTAGAGATTATTGCGACAGATAGCAGGATGAGTGATGGTCAGGATGAAGAAGACCAGAGGTGAGGCCGGGTAAGCGAAGGTCAACGGCGCTGCTCCGTCACCTCGGCAAGCAGACAGCTGGCCGCTCCAGGTCGAGCCCTCCTGACAAACCCTGCTCTCCGATCCCACGAGTTCATAACCAGGGTCACACAGGAGGTGAACTTCATGGCCCACGGCGTGCGACTTGCCAAGTTTCCTCCCGTTGATGGGCGCGTCCAGTCTCGGGCAGGTAGCTTCAGATGAGCAGAAAGGCAGACAGTTCTATGTGTAATGTTTTGACAAGTCTGACTTTGTGAGGGGTATGCTTACTGTTGATGGATCTCGTGGTCTGCTTTCCAGCACTGCTCAGCAACAGATTTATTTTCTTCTTCAGGTTGCGAAGACTCTGCGAGTAGGAGGCTTCGTGTGTTGAGAGAAGCTTCTGTACCTGCTTCAGAGAGCCCTGTATTTCCTGTCTACTGGGACAGTCCTGGAACAACAAATAGAGGATGACTAATGTTGTTAAGTGTTGATTACTATTTTACAACTTTTTCAATAATTCATTCACAAGTACGTCAAATTTGTATTTTGTATTTTTGTATGATCTCCCACAAATTTTGTAAAAAACATTTTGCTCAATTTATGAACAAAGAAAATAAATATTTTTCAACAACAAAAAGAGACCAATAGATCACAAGCCAGTGATGCTGTTGATGTGTTATCCAGAGAACCCTCCATTCATTCACAGACTCAAAACAATGTTATTAAGAGTTATTTAAAAAACTTAGCTAATCTTACCTATGAAAAGCGTTCTATGGTAACACACAATCTTGCATTCTTTTTTTACACTAAATGTTTTTGTGAGCATAATGAATTTATTAAATCGTGGCTTTAATATAAAACATGAAACGTAGTTCCACTGCATGTAACAAACAGGTTGGCTGAAATAGTCCCCTTGAAAACTTGCAGTACAGACGCCGGGCTGTTATATGAGCCAGTAAATGCAGTAGGATCACAGTATGTTTGGCCAATGAAAGTATTCGGGAGCAGGGACCTCCTCCTCCTCTCAAAGCTGGTTACAGTAACTCAGTCATAAACACAGGAACACTCTCTGAAAGTTCACTATTCTTGTTATGTGGCTCTCACGCATGACCCCACCTTGATCATTACATAACCAACGTGTCATTTTATGAAAGATTAACTTGCTCTCTATGATGTGGTGTTTATAGGGTTTGGGGTCAGTGTGTCGGGTATAAAAGCCCTCAGCATAAACATTACCTCGGGTACAACCTCCTTTTCCATTGGCGGCAGGGAGGAGGGAGCGGCACCGACTTGTTTTCTATACACGTCCTTTTCAACAGCGTCATTCTACGCCTCTACTGCCCAGTCCTCTCGTGCACGTTCTCAGACAACCAATTAGTGTTTGCGTTCAGCCAGGGTTATGTAAGAAGAGTCAATATTTGCTAAAAACACCTTTCTGATTTAGAAAGAACTAGGGTTTGGAGAGGCTTCAGTCAGCTAGGAGGGGCTGCTGGTGTTTAGAGTGTAGTTGTCAAAGACCTCTTTCTGCCTGTGCTACGAAAAATGTCCCATGGCTCCATATGAACTGGGTGTGCCGTTCTGGAGCTCGAGATGACGTTACAATACTACTAAATATACTGATTATCATAACGTTGAAAAACTGAAATAAAACATGAACTTCACACACACATAAAACGAGTTAAGGCGATCTCTCAGTATCACACATGCACAAAGACAAGCATGCAAAGGCCTTAAGAGGGTTGTTCACAAAAAAATTCATTGCCTCTGGGATCTTTTTCTTGCAGATTACATGCAGAGTAAAGTGCATTCAGGATTTTCTTTTGTCCTAAATATTTTTGCACTCACTGTAAGAGCTGCGATGAGAAAGATTAGTCAGATTTAAGCCGTTTTCGCCACGGAAGCTATTCATGATGGTTATTAAGAGGCATATTGTAATATGTTCAATACATAAATAACTATTTTTCTGAGCAAGTTTATCTTGTTACAACCATATTAGCCTGTCATTGAGTTCACTCACCTGTCCAAAAGTAGGATGGAGCGAGCAGAAACACATCAAGGGGATGAAAATCGCAGCGATCATGTTTTCAAATGATCCAAACCAACACGCAGTCAGCGGTCAGTCCTCAAATGTGTTAGAAGGTGCAGGCAGTGTGGACCGAGTGCGTGCACAGACTCCAGGTGAGAGAAGCTGGCAGTCGCTAAATCTCCTGCAGGGAACCGCTGAGGAATGTTGGTTTACTATTCAACAGCCAATCAGGGAAAAGAGACTTTAAGAAAAATGTGGCCACATTATTATCCCTTTGCCTAACTCGGTGTGCACCTCCTCCCTTTTTCAGCAGCTTGATTGGTATCTTGGTTCTATATAAGTGAAAGAAAACTGAGCTGGAAAAGAATTCTGGAACACAAGTGAGATGAAAAACATTATTTTTAATGTTTTCTGATGTTGCCAATATTGTCAAAAAATATTAAAATAAAATGTTATGATAAATGAAGAATATCGATCAAGTAAAAAAAATGTAAAATATAGATTCTAACTTTTATTTCCATCACTTTACATCATCTAACTCACCTGACAAGGATCCCGAACCTCGATGTACATTGAGGGTGCTATTTGAGATCTTTGATGGAGTCAGTGTTCACTCAGTGACGGAGAGAAGCTACAGACAAGCTGGGCTCTCTACATGTGTACAGCATGTATTCACACGTGAATTCCCATTCTGTGTTTCAGTGGGACTGAACCAAACATGTCACATTTTTCACAGGTTACAGAACAAAGAGCCTGACCTGTGTAGGATATTAGAAATAAACTGACCTGGTTCATAAATTAATCAAATGCATTGAGTGTACACCATAATACAGCCATGATTCTGAAACTGTGTAATCAATAAAGTAATGACAATATTGTAAAACCACTGTAATATTGAAACTGTAATCAATAGAATAATATCAATGTAGAGTTATGATTGTATTTGATGTAATGTAATGAACTGGAATGCATGCATGTAATACTTGCACAACAACTGGTATTGTCTGAGGGTCATTCGAAATCCGAGTTACATTGAACTGACCAGAAGACCACTCCCAGAGGTGTGGACACTAACTTTCACACCTTTACGGATCGGTATAAATGCCTGTAGGCAACCATTGTTCTCGAGTTCACTGGTGGAGGCAGCAGACGGGCACTGGATGGTCAATGGGCCCTGTGGCCTGTTGGTTGCAAAGACCAGCGGCTCCTCAGCTGAGATGTTCTTTTTACCACAGCACCCTTTCTTTTATTAAATACATTTGATTTTAACCTTTCGATCAGCGATGTTTCTTTGTCTGTACGGCGTTTCTTCATTTTGAACACAACGCCTCACATGGCTGTATCATGATGATGGGGACTAGACAGCATTATAACAGTGGAGTGAATATAAAAAAGGTGATAAAGATGAAAGGTGATGCCATCCCTTTATATATTAATACAGAAGGAAACTATGATATACATCTATAAAAAGAATCATTCCTTTGTCTCATTTACACCCAAATTGAAGTAATTTAGACTGTAGCTCTACTTTAATTTAAAGTGCATCTCTCATGAATGAAAACGCCATCGAAGAAGATATTATATGGCTTTAAATTACTTCTAAACTTTCCCTCTGCAAGTTGTCTGTTTAGTCAGTATCTTCTTTAATACAGTCGCCAATGGAGGAAGTAAAAAATACGTCAATTCTAGAGAATTCCCTTTGTTGAAAATCCACCAATTTAAATGAAATGTTAAAGATGTGAGTGTGTAGGAGAATATAATAGCAACTTAACAATGCTGCTATGGAGAAAGGATTCATGGTGAAGATGGACTTCTGTCACCACTGCAATTCAGAGTAATGAGGGGGCGAAGTGATTTGAGCTCACGCAGGAAGGAAGCTTACAGTGGTTCCTGTGGTTGTTGGTGAAATCCTCTGAGTGGATGACCGTGTCTGACCCGCTCAGAACAGATTGTGTTCAAAGCTGTTGTTCTTTCAGACAGTCAAAGAGTCTAAGTATGGAGACACAGAAAGACACTCTGCCCACATGGTAGAAAAAACACGGTTTATTGGGTTTCTTTGCAGCCGTGTCCAGACTCTGAATCACCCCACAGTGTGGGAAGCAGGAGTCATGCCTCCCACACCGGATGGGTAGAAAAACATTGTCCCCATGTTCAAACAGACAGCCATGCAGCTTCATCCCTTCGCAAACTCACATCTACCACCTAATGTTCTATCATCTCACGCTCTGCTGAATTCTGAAAAAACATCACAATGATTTGTATGGGTTTTAAACACAAGTTTTGAACTTCACCTCTGCTGGACAGAGCTCAGGACTAAATTTGCATCTGATTCATCAGAATAATCGACTTTGGTGTCTCAAAACAAACTTGAATGATGATGACTAAGAGTTTTGTTCTGCTGACTGGCACTATAGTACAATCCCTTTATCAGTGATTATCATTGCATAACAATTTGGTATGATGATATTTTTTATATATTTTATATTTTATCTTATTCAAAGGCAAAGTCATGTAAATAAACCAATAAAAAAAGTTAAAACAAAAAAAGTTATTTTGGTTCTAGCAGACCAATAATAAGTATGATATGGTTTTCGTTCACACCTGTAATGCGAAACGTACATTTTTTTAGATTTGCGCTAATATTTATCTCCTCAAACGCAGTTAGTTAAAGAAAGAAGCATCGGTGGAGTAATCTCAACTAACTATCAATGGGTGCAGCATGAGGTGCTCTGCAGCCCTCGGGTGACAGTTATTCTAATGCAAAGAGGGAGGAGAGGAGCACGGAGCCAGAGGAGCTGAGCGCAAAGGGGCCCCTGTTGTTGGAGAAACTTCAGCAGTTCACGATGGGGTCCGGAACCGCGTCCCGCTGTTTGCTGGATCTGCTTGTTGTTTTGTCTCTGCTGCCCACATTCTCCCGCGCCAGCCGGATTATCGCAGACGTACGGGAGCTCCAGAAGTCAACCATCACCGGTAAACAGTCCTCGAGCTGCGCCACGAGGGACACTGCAGTCAGCTGTTGTCTGGTACTCGTGCGTGATGACGAACAACAAGCTCACATTTTACATGTTACATAACATTCTAACATGTTTGCGCGATGCGATTGAAGTGATCGCAAGTAAGTGTAAAATAATACGATTTTATTCGTTTTACTAATGAAAGTGGTTTTCTTACGTTTGCGTCAGTGTCAATCCTTTAAGCTGTGGACTCCAGTGGGCTTTCTTAGCTGTCCAAATCCACCTGGCAAAGCACCAGCGGCTCTACTCTTCTGTCACTGCCTGCTGTAATGCAGCAGTTCGGCTTAAAAATTACCATTTTGATGGCATTTTGCCAAACCAAATTATAAACCTATCACTGGACGGCAGAAATTTTTGATGACATCTGATCCTATGAAATTAGAAACTTTATGGGATGCAATATGATTTAATTGAAAGAATTGAAAGAAAGAATAGAAAGAATTGATGAAAGTGTCATTGTTCAATCTGCCTTTATATTTATGATTTCAGGATCTCAGACCCAATTCAAAGTTAGTAGTTTTTATTTTGCATGGAAGGTCTCAAAGTCCTTAATAGGTAACAATTTACTTTAACCCCTTTACTATTAGAAGTAGTATATTAACCTGTATGCACTACAATAACTACATGATACAATACACAGGTATAAAGACATTTGTAGTGTCTATCTTCAACAAAATTTAAGGTTGATTTGATTTAAACTGATGTGTACAGTAAAAACCAATACACTCTCCAACCTCACAGACACACATAGCACCCCGACAAAAAAGCCTTTCGTTGTCATGGTGACAACAATAGGGGCATAACTAAATGACTGTTTCTGTATTTTCTTCCAGGACTCGGAGTGAAGGAGCACTCAAGGATTGTTTCCCAGCACAATAGACTGCGGAGCCGGGTCAAACCCATGGCAGCAAACATGCAAAAAATGGTGTGTGGCATCTAATGTCTGTTTCTTCTGTGTGTAGGTGTGTAGGTGTTTCTGAGTGTGTGTAAAAATTGTTGAATTGCATGAATGCTGCCGTGACCTAAATATGAGGTTAAGGCAGTTTAAATTATTGTCAGTCTACATTTTCATTTTCATTATAAAGATCATTCCTACTCTGCTGCTCACAAAAGGAACAATTATTTGTATTGAGCTGTGTTGCTCTGTGGTACGACACCTATTGGGAAATAGTTGTTGCATCAGTTGTTGTGCTCTGCTGCAGGCTGAATGATGTGTGGACATTCAGAATGAAGCAGAAATCAATTAGTCCAGTGAGGGAAATTATACCAATTAATTGTATTTATTCCCAACAGAATAGGAGAAAACCTGGCACATTTGTTAGTCTCTCAATGGAGAGCGTATTTAGTTGAGGTGTGTTAGAGTGATACAAACTGTTAGATGATCATTGTGATGTTTTGCTGAATGTGCTAAACACCCAAACTACAGTAAATCCTCTCCTTATCTTCCTAAATCTATTGCTGTGCCATTCCGTCCTTATCTGCATAACTGTCTCGTCTGCATGTGATTATTTCTGCGAGGTAACGATGGATTAAGTCCCCTGGGCCTAATAAGAGATTTATTCCAGGGCAAACTGTCACTTTGTCATAGATTACATCCTCAAAGCGACCCGTACAGGCCACAGCACCTTTTCTTTGACTGCTCTTCAGCCTCAGAGAACTGTTCTCGACTGATAAGGCAGTAATGAGAAAAAGAGGACGCGGATAATCATTCTGCATTCACAACTGTGCTATTACAGGTTATTTCCCAGTGAAAACCCTCAGAGGAAGCTCTACTGAGCTGAAGAGGCATATTAAAAAGCTTTACTGATAAAAGTTAAAAGGCTCAAGGCCTCGGCTGTGTTTGTGAATATCTGAATGAGGGTTTTTTTTCACTGAGAAATGAACCGGTACGCTTTGCGGTGAGATTGTGTTGGAGTGATTATAATATAGACCTTTCGGCTTTGCTTTCAGGGTGAGATAAAATACCAATAATTAAGAAATGAGTGACGCTCCTTCCTTTCTTACTCCCTCTTCTTTCAGCTCTTGAGGAAGTATTATGAGGTCACTCTTGGAGACAGAAATGAAAGTTCACCGTTTACTTTTGATATGCAAATCCTTTTGTGAGATTGTATTTTATTAACCATGCTCAGATCTTCTCAAGCTCCAGCTTGTCTGGCAGACATCTGGACTGCAGGAATCTTTTACACTGTGAGCTTGCCAGTGCATATACTGTGCAATACCACATGTTTCTGTTGGGATATTAACCCTCCATCAAGTGGAAGTACCTCAATGTGATGTTTGTACTACCCTATGTGGCAATGTAGAGCGATTGATTTGTGGAAAGTTTGTGTGGAAACCATTTTTTTTAACCTGGTGGAGTGTGTATGTGTAGCATACAATGAGTGTCAGTCATTGGTTGGTCCTGCCATGGATACCAGCTCGCCCTTCGTTGTCTCCCTGCCCGTTGCCAACTGTACTCTAAGACCGGCCACGACCCCTGAAGAGGATTTAGCGGGATAAGAGAACGACTCGTGAACTGTTAGGAATGACCTTCACGCCAAATAGCTTTTTCATTCATCCAGTTTCAATCAGCATCTACAAAGTACAAAATGACCTTCAACTCAGATTTAAGGTGCAACTCCAAGACCAGCACACATAGATGTAACTCAGAATTGAATGAGTTGAATGTATTGTAGTTGATTTCCTGCAAAAATGTTTTCAATTGGTAGTTCAATATTATTTATGCACTATAGTGAATATATTTCATTATTCATTCGTCATTCATTTGTGTGGAATTATTTGTATTGAAGTCTTACAAAGGTTATGATGGTTTGTGCTGTACATGAAGCAGCAGATACATGACGAGTGACAAATATTGATTGTCACATCTCACAGAGATTTATATAATATTTACACACAGGAGAATGAGATAGAAACCTTTGATTTTATCAAACAGATCTGCTGTAGACAATCTAATCAAAAGACAGGCAAAGCTGATGAAGCACACAGTTTAAATTAAGTGAATATGGTAACTTGATGTTTGCTTCATCAGACTACAATCGACGTGCTGGTTAACAGTACACACAAAAATGACATTTTCCTTCAGAAAGTTTTGCTGTAAATGTTAAAAGTGAAAGACGTGTTTTATTATTGTCACTACAGGTGTGGAATGAGAGGTTGGCCTCACATGCTAAGACGAGGGCAGCAACGTGTGAAATAGACGGCCCTCCTCCATATGCCTCGACTTTCAGCCATGTCGGGTGGAACACACATCTCTCTGCCGATGGAGGCACCTCATTTTCTGACGCCATTCACTCTTGGTTTGATGAGGGGAAAGACTTTCTCTACTTGAGTGGGCAATGTAGGGAGAATGCCACCTGTCAACACTACACACAGGTACAAACGAGCAGAAACTAACTCTACCCATGTTTGTGTGCAGTCATGCTTTTACAAATTCAAAATGAATTAATTTAAAAAATATAAGTGCTGATGCAGTGTGTCTTAACCTTCTGTTGTTGTGCAGGTGGTTTGGGCCACTTCAAGTAACGTGGGCTGTGCCAGCCAGCTGTGTCTACGCAAAGGAGATATATCGCAGATATTTGTCTGTGCATATTACCCTGGGTAACAATTACACACTTTATTAACAAGTAATTAATTGAAGAATTCATCCGAGAATAGAAAAGGATACAATTTGAAGAGTTATACTATCATATTATTCAACTTTTATTTTGTAGAAAACTGAAATTTGTGTACTGTAGGTCAGTACACAAATCACGGAAGTCCTTCAGTCATCAGAAAAGCATTGTTGTAAAATCAAGTTTAATGTGGATAATATGGTAAAGCAGCCCTCAAGCTACTCTGCATCGTGTGCGATTGTGTGTCTCTTAGGATATGTGTACTGCAGTAAGTATTTGTGTGTTGCTGCAGGGGGAACTGGGAGGTCAATGGTCGGCTGGTGATGCCCTATAAGACGGGTCCATACTGCTCCCTCTGCACCTCCTCCATGTCCGGCTGCTTTAGACTCTGGGACCACGTAGATGGATTATGTGGTACGATAATTCATACATACATATATATAGTATACTTTGTGTTTATATTTTGAGGCACACATGTCGCTGATATGTTTAGCAATGTTAGCCATGCATATTTAATCTAAATCAAGATGTAAGATGCATACATGAAGTACCTCACATACCCTCTGTGCTTGTGTTATCAGAAATTCCAAGGAATCCGTGTCGAATGAGCTGTGGTCAACACGGCCGTCTCAACGCCTCATCCTGCAAGTGCATGTGTGACCCCGGCCACACCGGACGCCTCTGCCAGGGTACAGTCATCCACATCGCGTGCAGCAGGAGGGGATATAGCACCCATATTGATGTTAGGCCTAATTCAATTCATCTGTTTTCATGTCTCAATGTACTGAGTGTGTGTTTCTCAGTACAGTGCAGTGTGCAGTGTGTGCACGGTCGCTTCAAAGGAGAAGAATGCTCTTGCTTGTGTGATGTTGGCTACGGTGGTGCTGAGTGTGCAGGTAGGTGCAGTATGCTTTCTTGTGATTTTATAAACCTCAGCAATTTGCGCTCCGAGACATCAATTGGCTTAAAATTCAAAAGCATGCACACAGTGACAAAATTGCTGTTGCTGCTGCTACATTCTGTATTTATCTCAAGCCAGTCTGTTAACCTGATGGAAATATGGGGAAAGATCCAGCAAAGTGATTAATTAGGAGTCACATCAATGACAATCAAACAGTAATAGGATCTACAGTATAATGAGGAGTGGTACAGTTTAAAAAAACGTGTACATTGACAGAATGTTTCAGTGGATCCATATTTTTCAGCTGTTCTAGGCACCACAATTATATTCTGTAACCTGATTTGGTTTCTCATATACATTTTCAAAACTCTCGTGGCTTTTAGTGTATTTTGTGGCTCGTGTCCCAACAGAGAAAGTGCAGTTTCCCTTCCACAGCTGCGATGTGATGATAGATGGCGATTGCTTCGTGGTGTCTTCAGATGCTGACACCTACTATGGAGCCAAGAGCCGCTGTCAGGTGAGAGGCTGGTGTGCGATTCCCCCCTGAGAGTGAGACCAGCTCCGCAGTCATATCATGTCATGCTACATATTTCATTCAGAATCCAGTGTGCCTTTGTTGTTATGTTCACACAACCAGGGCCGACGAGGTATTCTAGTTCAGATCCACAATCAGAAAGTTCAGGACATCCTGGCGTTTTACCTCAGCCAGCTGGAGTCCAGCATCGAGGTCACCGACACTCACTCTGAGACAAGAAACTTCTGGATCGGTACAGTGCTTCTTTGAAAAATCTTTGAGATACCATCATGTTTTCTAACACCAAACTGCACTACCAGTTTAGGTAACTGACTGTGCCGACATTTGACGTACTAGCGGATGCTGTGGAGATGCTGCGTTGATAAAACAGCAATGTTTTTGCCCCACAGGTTTGACATATAAGCCTCTGAAAGACTTTTTTCGCTGGGATACAGGAGAGATGCTTACATTCAGCAGCTTTGCCTTTGGGCAACCCGACAACCAAGGGTAAGAGACACATTCACCAACACACATAAACTCTAGCGGATTACATCATAAACAGACAGCCAGGTGCGGTGGAGCTCAACAAACATGTAACAGATAATATGAAAGGTAGAAAATTACTTTTTTTCCGTGAGATGCTTTGCTTTGCTATGCTTTTTTCAATCTGTCTCATCAGTCGGCCAACGGTATGCAATATATACTTTATTACTGCAAGAGATGTTTGAAGTTTAGTCTTGAATTATTTTCATCTGTGAAATAAAATCCAGTATAAATAGCACTTAATATTAATTCATTCACTAAGGTTGACTCAAATGCATTTGACTTTTTATGAATAATAAATAAAAAAGTAGCTCGCCGTCTCTACATTGTCCACTAGATGTCTCTCTCTTTCTGTGTCCCCTCTGTGCTCCTTCATCTCTTATCAATCCATCTAAACAGCTATCATGTATTGTAAGTCTGGAATACTTTCATAACAGGTTATTGTGTGAGTAATAACACGTTGTAGTTTTGCCAAAATGAAATACTAATGTTTTACATTGTTTGATTTGTTTATGTGTATCTGAATCTTTTTGGCCTCAAATCTGTGCTTGTTTGTAAATTACTTACGTAGTATTCCTTTAGAAATATATCTTTTTTAAGTTATCTGAAAAAGTAGAACATTTTACCCGTTCAACTTTAGAATAACCTTTACTAATCAACAGCTCAAAGAAGTATAATAAAGAGAACAACTTTTCCATTCAGTCACTCTCTCATTCATCTCTCTCTCTCTAGCTTTGGAAACTGTGTGGAGCTGCAGGCATCGAGTGGCTTCAACTGGAACGACCAACGATGCAAAACGCAGAACCGATACATTTGCCTCCACGGTAAGGCTCCATCCGGGAAAGGGTGAATGAAAGTGTTGAAGGAATGAAGGTACGCTCTCTTTTCTGCACAAATGACCATCCAATATGCTGCCCTGAGTGACGAACCCTGAGTGACTGTGTACAAATGTGACATTTAAAAATAGGCAGTGATAGAAATGTTGAACTTTTGTCACAAAACCAAATAGCTGATCACCGATAGCGTCGCGTTTGCTCCTGCTTCTGAACAATGTGAACATTTTGCTGCATTTTTTCAACAGCAGCAGCGTGTCCCACAGTTAACGTTCAAGACGGAGGGACTTGTCCTCTCCCTAATGTCCTTCCACCCAGAGAAATATATTGAGTGCTTTGAGATCGTCTTTTTTATCTCTTGTGGAGCATTTGGAGCTTAAGGGGACTTCACACAGCTCCAGCGATCTGTTGAAGATCTGTGTAAAGAGTGATGTGGAGACATTGATTGGATTCACTGTGCAAAGTAAAAAATATCACTCGATAGAGTTTTACAACTTTTTGTATTTGTTTGGACGGAAGCACCTGCCGTTTTCCGACAATCATCTGTGGCTGATAATTACAGCAGGGTGAGGTCTAAAATGTCTTTCCAATGTGTCCATTAATTATATGAACAGAGCCTTGAAAGATCTGTGTGATCCTACATTTAAACGAGGCACTCAGTCTAAATCAATGGCACTCAGTGCTCGCCCCTCAGAGCCTCAGAGCGATCAATATACATCAGCCCCACAAAGGCCCGCGGTGTTTAGACACATACATACCACTTACATTGATCGTAAGGGATGAGAGGGTGGCAGATGTTTAGTTTTGCCCACTTGAGTGTGTCTGTATAAGTGGTTGGTGTGTAATCTGGTATTGATCAGCTATAGCTGAATGAGTGATCTGCTCTGAATGGGTTGGTCAACATTGCCGGTATGACCTTTTTACAACCTTTTTGACAACCTGCTGATGTTTCTTTCTCTGTAGTTTGTGTTGTAAAACAGGACTAGCAGGTCTTTAATAAGGCGGGTTTTTATCACCGCTACTTAAAATACAGTAGTGCTTATTAACAAATCTAAACATGTGTGAATATTCTTCGATTGATCATTTTCCAATCCTTCTTCTCGAAATAAAAGCACATTTTCAGTGATGCAACAAAGAGTGAAATACATACATTCACTTGATATATAAGCACACAGAGCTCTCCAGCCCAGCAGAGTGATTTCCAGCCTTTATTGCAGTGTTGTGTTAATTGGTGATTAAATGATAAGTGGATATTACACAGCCTGAGGCCGACACTGTGTTTCTTCGCCACGCTGTCTGTGCTTGTTCGTGTGTGTGTGCAGGTTTCCATACGCATTTAAAGTCTCAGTCTCTTATCTCAAGTTTTAGATTAATAGTGGCCTCACAACCACATATTTTAAGTATTGGGGGAGAATTTGGGATTCATGCACATTCTTAACTTCTTTTTTTGTACAAATATTTTTTGTGCTCATCATGCAAAATTCTGTAAACGTTTGCACTGCCCAAATCCATAATGTGTAATGTGTTTTTGTGTGTTTCACAGCTGCAAGTCACATTGCCCAGTGGGAGGACGGCAGTTGACTTGGAAGTCTCAAAAGGGGGGAAACTGTGCAGTATATTTTACATGTTACTTTCAGTGAGTAATTTTAAAAGTTGAGGACAGTACACATGTTGTTTTTCAATCATTGTACATGGATCTGTGCAGTGTAGTTGTACTGTACTTACTGTACATGTTTGAGTTTGCAAATAGTCATTTGTTTTTGTCATTAAAGTGTTTGATTTTTCTCAGAAAATGCATTATTTCATTCTTTGCACGTGTCGTATGAGTGTCTGTTGGCTGCTCGGTGAAACAAGGAGAAAGAATTCTTAACTCATCTCACTTTTCATCTGGCGAGATCATCCGGTCAACATCAAAATGGGCCTCTGCTGTATTTTGTGTTTAGATGATAGATAATGCTAATGCTAATTAACAAATATTAGCATGCTCACATACTTAACTATGACAGTGATTCAAATATTGTGATGATAATACTTAATCTTACTTAATCTTGTTTTCTCAAACTCTTGACATGAATGACTCAGAAACTTTAAAAGTAGTATTTTCACTCCTTTTAATAACAATCTCATTCATAAAAATAGTCCTTTAACTTTAAAATAATCAAGAGATAGGTAAAAAGACAGGAGGGATCTATTGTAAAGATAAAGAATGCAAAAGATCCCAATAAAAAGTTTATACCAAATTGGGATTTCGGTGTTTGATCCGAGAAAGCACAAACATGCTTTTACTCGACATTGGTGTAAAATCATTGAACAGGACATTTATTAGATGCTTGCAAGCACGGAGCACAGTTGAAACAAAGTCATGTGCCAGCGCTACTCAAATCTTTCCTTCCTCCGCTTTGAGTTATATACTCTAAGGTGACAGACATCTGTCTGCAGCTGTGCAAACGATTACAGAACATCCTGTGAGGCAGGGCTTGTAACGTTCCCAAATACAATGGCCTTTGGAAGAGAAAGAACTTACAAAAAATTGCTTCAAAATAAATTACTGTTGCCGTTCTGAGATTAAAATCCTGGTCCGATCATCATGAAAATCCTTTCAGGGAAATCTCTTTTTGCTGAAAGGTTGATTCAGTACCTTGGATAGCAAATTCTCTCATGGTATTAGGGCCTCTATCGGGGTTATGACTATCCGCACCTAACAAGGAAATTCATCAAGGAAGTTGAACATCTCATCACGCAACAAACCTCCAGGTTATTAATGTGTCTCTTTCTGTTCTCACCAACGCTGTGGCTCATTAGAAAGAGACACAACGGGATCTGTATGCGTGTAGCGGCCACAAGTCTGACTCCCGAAGAATGAGAAGAGACGAAATAATAACTGAAGAACAATACTGAGCTTTAAAGCAAATGTTTGGATTCCAAGCCATAAGAGTAGAGAAGACAAGGTGAACCCATTCTTTTGAAGACATGATCATGTACGTGCTTTTTGTGGAAATGCCAAAAAAAATGACAATGAGCGCTATTAAACAGTCTTGGAAAAAGCTAAAAGATGTGTAAATATTTCCTTGGGAACAGAGATCCTGCTGGATGGCATATGATGGCACACTCAGGGAGAACGGAGGGATGAAGGCTTCTGATAATGGGGTCAGACCAATGACGTGCACACAGAACAACTGGCAGCAATATCCTAATTATCCTTCATCTCTATTAAGTGTCCACTATTTAACACATTTGAGGTATTCCCTTTGCAAACTTAGTAATGGTTCTACTCATTAAGTGAAACCTTCCTCGAACACCTCATTTACTCCTGGCTCAAGAAACATTCACAGCCCCGTGATATTGACAAAAATACATTTGGTTCGGTCTGTTTGCATTACAACAGGATACTTCCTGGCATAGTTTCCAACAGTTTTGGAGAACTAAGTTTATTCACTTCTTCGCAGGGAATTAAATGAGGTAATTACTCTCATATCTTACATTTGGAAACAGCTGGCAACATTTCTGTTGCTTTTAACAATATTTGTCTACACAAAATAAATTTGTAACGTCCAAGTTACTAATGTTTTATTTATTCGATCAACACTAAAAGACCTTTTGAAATTGGCACCGGATCAGACACCTATCCTGCCCATGTACACAAAATTACAACATTCATTTAGATTATTGTCTGCGTGAAACACTTTTTCTTTTTTTGCTGATCTGTTGCTTCATTCCTGTGGCTCCGTCTCCAAACAAAGTCCTTTTTGTGTTTGTATTCATCTGTCTGTGAGTGTCGACCGCATGTGTAAATCCTTAGCACAGACCCCGTGCTAGCAGCGCTTCCTGCTGGTCTCATGGTGCCCCCTGATAAGCGGATGCTGCAGAGGGTTTCAGAATGGCGCCGGTGGCAGTGGAATTAGCTTCCATTGTCATGATAATGACAGTGATACTCTTGCCCCGTCCAACTCAGACCAGCCATTGTGTGGAAAGAGGAATGCAATTTCTCCTGCAGCAGCAACCGACAATCCTCTATGAGAGTGAAAGGTCCCTAAATGACTTCCCATTCAGGCGAGGTTGAGAGGCCAGCAGCCAATTAAAGCGGGAGCAGCAGAACAGTGCCATCCCAAAGACCGAAGGCTGTCTATGAACACACACATGAAGCAACAGCAAGTCGCTGTATTTGCCTTTGTACAAACAACATCTAATCCCCTAAACTATGTTTTTCCCATACACAAGTGATTGATTTGAGGGGGGTAGGGGGGGGGGGGCACAGGCTGTTTACACTAAATAACTCAAGAGGTCTGTTCAGTTCACTACGTGCACAGACTCAGGCACACAGGTTTTTTATTTGAAAATGCCTAAATACTTGAGTTGGGGGACAGAGTTCCTATCTATCTATCACGGTTCAATTCTTTGCTGAAGTAAGATGGCCTCTCCTATGTTTATCTGAGTCACGATGGAGGTTTCCACAGTTCTTCATGCTGACGAGCAGTGAGGGAAGTGCACGTGTCCTGTGGGACTCGTGCACTTCACATCATCAGTCAATTGAGCCAGAAGAGTTTGTTTTAAGCAGCGCTACTAATATTTACCCACCTCGACAATTCTTCCGAGGCCAAAACACCCCTCTCGCATGCTTCATTTAATCTGCGGCCACCTTTCTCCATCGTCTTTACAAACGTTTCAGTTGAAAACACACAGGATTATCGAAATAACATATCTTCAATTGTTCAAATGTTTATTTGCCAGCCTTGTTGGGGGCAAGCATCATGCTGTTACAACAGATCAGATCAACTGTTTGCGTGTCTTCGACCTGTTGCGTTGAACCCTATAAATCCAAAGATCTGTACAGCTTTTGTACGCATTAACTGAACAACTCCTCTGACCCCATTAAGTGGAGCTTATTCCATTCAAACCCTTTATTATTAGAAAACCAACCCCTGTAGAAGATCTAAATTAAATCTTTATTTCCTGTGTGATAAAGCATATTCCTCAGTGCCATTTAACAAAACAAATCAGTCAGCCACACTGTCATACAGTACTGGCAGAGATTACAATGAATATAGGCAGTGTATTCGTAACGTAATCGTATTGTTACTTTGGGGTTTTGTTGCAGGAAGACACATTCAACCATTAATATCAGACCACAAACTGTCCATTTGTCATCATAAGGTGGGAGACCTTTGAGCTGGCCAGCTAAATATATCATCAACCTGCTCTTCAATTAGAATAATCTGTCAAACAGCCGCAATGTTACACACCAGCATTGTCTTGTGACATTTTCAGTATGCTGATGTCAGGGTAAGAAATGACACAACACAGCCGTTAACAGGAATAAGGGCCATTGGGCACACATTTGGTTGACTGTTAGCTGCACATTGGCTAGCACAGGGTGTTTGATGTATGCAAAGGTAGCAACAGATAAAGCACAAAATATCTTTCTGTCACGGTATTTTTTAAAAATCGGATGAAAGCTCTCATCATACAGCATAAAATCTCATCATAAATAGAGCTCTTGTGTGTTTAAGCATCTTTTGATAGTCGCATGATGTTATTAAAGGCTGCAATCAGTCTCCAATTATCCCTCTTTACATCTCAATGTGGAAATCCAGCTGCACCGTAGGATCTGATGATGCAGGAGGAGGAGGAACTGTGTATTTTTATGAAGAGAGGTAGATGATACTTATAGTCATAATTACAGGGGGATTTCTAATCATCTGAACAAATCAAGTAAAGATTGCTTTAAGTACTCGCTTCATGTCCCCACCTGCTCTTGTCTACTGTTTACTGGAGCTGGGACGGTGTTTTCAGCTTGTAGTGGATTGTGAGAGTTGCCATTTCTCTTTTGATGCTGCAAGCAAATAACATGAAGGTTATTCATTGAAGTGCCCGTATTGTGTGAGTGAGATTGAATTATGATTATGAATTCTATTTAATTATTTGTCCAAGCCAGTTATGCCTCTAACTTATTTTCTAGATCTAAAAAAAATCCAAATGTAATAACAAACGTATCGGTCTATATAAAAAAAAAACATAACTTGCTTGTTTCAGATATGAACACAGTTTAATTTGAACAAATATTCAAGCTACAGTCAGAGGACTAAAGGGATTATTCTGCCCGTCCTCAATTACCATTAAACCATTAATGCTCTGTCCCTTATCTGCATGATTCCCTCCCCCTCTCCCCCCCCCCCCTCACCCTCTTTCTCTCTCTTACTTTTTTCAGAGCAGCATTTGGATGCAAGATGAACTTTGATAAGAGTTAATGAGAACACAGCGTTGTACAGGGAAAAGAATGGCTCGGGCTGCACTAAAGAGCCTCCTCACAGGAAATGGACCGTAAATAGCTGCAGCCACCCACTCTGAGTTGCGAGGAGGTTGGAGATTCAGAGGAAGAGGAAGACAATAGAGACCATGCAAAGACAGGGTTGAAAATAAGGGTAGGAAGGAGAGGAAAAGAAGACAGGGCAATGTATAATTAAGGCACAGAAATGTGAAATTGTTGAGCCTATAGGCTAAAAGCATAATGATAGACAATTATTTTATTTATATTACCGGATCTTACAACTAACATCCTTTTTACGTCCAATTTTTTAATTTTATTTGTTTTAGTTGCCCACTGGTTTTGCTTGCCTTCCCGGGTCGACTTGTTTATTCTGACTTCTGAGTTTTGTGTTAAATTAATATCTGCCCCGATAAACTGAAACTGGGGAGAGAAAAAAGATCATGAATCAAACGAGTGGAACGTTGAAGAAGAAGGTGGTGATAGATTAATAAATGAATAGTTGAGAGAGGATGTCATCTTAATTAATAG